TCACCTTCTCGCAACCCTTTAAACTGCCAATCATAATGGTAAGCTTTCACAATTTTGACAGTGAAGCAGTTTCTTATTTTAATCACTTGAATACCAATATAGAGTAGGTAATTTTGATTATTTCTAGAACAGACAAGGCGTTGTCTATATAGCCGGCAGGTAAACGGGCAAAACAATTTTGCATAGTTATTTCCATTTATTTGTTTCAAATTACTTCATTTTTTTTTTTGAACAAAAATGAACAATTTGTTTTTTCGCACAAAAAAGAACAATTTGTTTTACTTCCATTTAAAGCAAATATACTGTATAAACAGAGATACTTTGTCTAATGCCTATCTGTAAAGGACGTTTTGATTGCATGGCTTAAAATAAGCTTTTTCGGGAAATACGATTCAAAATGAAGGTAAAACAAATACGGTGGCAATGAGATCTACATGCAAAAGTTCATCTGATCTTTAACTATAGGTATATGCAGTTACAGTGAATTTGTTTGGAAGTCAAAATACTACTTTGTTTACATTTTTCTACTTTTATTAGCTCGACTATGCAATATGGTTGGAATAATATATCAAATTATTTGAGAGGACCACCTTATACATTTTAAAATACTGCTTAAACTGACTTTAGAATAACTTAAAATGTCACATTATGAAGGGTTATTCTCTTCCAAAAGTAATGAACATTGACTTTATAACATGAAATAACAATTATATCATTCATGTTTTTAATATTTTGTCAATAGGCAAACATTTTTTCACTTAGACTTTTTTCGCATTCAGTTACTAGAGTATACACAGTTTCAGCACTGAATACGAAAAAAGTCTAAGTGAAAAAAATACATGAAAATACGCAAAAATGATATTATTTTATTATCGGTACTACTTTGATCAACAGTAATCATTATAAAACATACTTTAAAACTGAAAATAAAATACTACTTATAATTTTTGTCACTTAGACCATCACATTTTTTTAGCTCGACTTTTTTTTTTTTGAAAAAAAAAGTAGAGGTATTGTTATAGTCAGGTCGGCGTTGCCGTTGCCGTTGCCGTTGCCATTGCCGTTGCCGTTGCCGTCCGAAAACTTGTACCTGGATCATAACTTTTTTATTTCTTGGTCTATTGTCTTCATACTTGGCCACAACAACCCTTGGGACAAGACCTTTCAGTAGACCACACTAACCTTGACCTTCATCCATAAATGACCTTGACCTTCAAGGTTAAAAGTCCAATTTTTGCTTGTTCATGCTGTTATTGGCTGTAACTTTGTTATTTTTGAATGGATTGTCTTCAAACTTGAACATAATAATCTTCAAGGATATCCCTTAAAAATAACCAGTCAGACCTTGACATTCACTCATCAATGACCTTGACTTTGAAGGTCAAATTATTGAAATTTTCATTTTTTTGGCTATTATTGGCTGTAACTTTGTTATTTTTGAATGGATTGTCTTCAAACTTGAACATAATAATCTTCAAAGATAACTGTTAAAAATATACCGAAAGACCTTGACCTTCACTCATTAATGACATTGTCTTTGAAGGTCAAATTATTGAAATTTTCATTGTTTTGGCGGTAACTGACTGTAACTTTGCTATTTTTGAAGGGATAAACTTCATATTATAACAGAACATTCTTAAGGACCAGACCTTGTTGTTTATCAAACCCAAATTTGCTTGGGCTCTTTAATGACCTTGACCTTGAAGGTTATATTACTGAATTTTCTCAGATTGTGCATTTATTGGTGTGTGTGTATGTATAGTATATGTATTATATATATATATATAAATGTGTGTGTGTGTATATATATATATATATATATATATATATATATATATATATATATATATATATATATATATATATATATATATATACATACATTAATATATATATATATATATATATATATATATATATATATATATATATATATATTATTTATATCAAATATATATACATATATATATATATATATATATACAGGGTTGTCATTAAGAGGCGGCAGGAGGCCAAAATGCCTGTCTCAAATGCATATTGGGCCGCCTCAAAATTCAGAAAACACTCTTTGTTATGCATGATAAAGACAAAAATGACCGCCTCAAGTTCAAAACAAACCTTCTGCAAAAAATGTTAATGACAACCCTGTATATATATATATACCATATATATACATATATATATATATATACATACATATATATATATATATATATATACAGAGATCTGCCGAGGACGCGATTTTGCGCCATTGGCGCTAAAAAAATGAGAATGGCGCAGGAAAATCGGCAGCAAAGGGCCATGGGCGCATCTAAAATCTGTGGCAGACTTATAAGAAAACAAAACTGTCTGCTGGTTTATTTAGTCATCCAGTCAAAACTGGTACCAATTGCAACATTCCCCTGTAATTACGCATATTCTTGAGTTTATCCATTCCCCTATAGCTTTTGTCCATGTTATCTACTTACCGCATTTCTTCTCATAATTCCTTTCCCACACAGATACTCATTTCTACTACGTAAATTTAATCCAATATAACAAACAAACAAATTATACAACTACTTAATATTTAAAATGATTATCGGTAACTGAAAAAAAGTGTTGCTATTTTTAGAAATGCTGTAAGTTACAGCATAATCTGACAGGTGTACAACATGAGCACCCCTAAGGTCACTCAAGTTTACGCAAGCTTTGTAAAAAAAAAGATGTCTATTTCGTCATCAGAATATTTGACAGGGTGATTAACCAATCAGGGAAACATTGTGCATGACTTTTTTCCATGATCAAAAGGTCTGTCGGCAAGTGTCTTTGATGTATGCTGTCTACACAGAGGCATACAAGGGGCAATAAAATTCGTCAATATACAGTGGTAAGGGACATTTAGTGCAAAGTAGGAACAATTCAATGGATAATACATTAGAAGTAAGAACCAGCAATTATGTGAATAAATTTGCATATCAAATTTTTGAGCAGCCATTAAAAAAAATTTTGCCTACAATTAATATTAGTTAGAAAGTTACCATGTAGGCATATTATTTTTAATTATATTGGTTAAGTACTGAATCATAAGTGAGCCACTTGTCATAAAATATGATTTAAGTTTTATTACCAGGGAAATTCAATTATCTACTTTTAACTTTTTAACAGTTATTTAGGTCAATGTTTACTTATTTGCCCAAGGCCCATACTTTGGTAAAAATGGCCCATCATTTTCAGACCAAGTGGGCCCAGAGCCCAGTACTTTCAAATTCTTGGCAGATCTCTGATATATATATGCATGTATATATATACACACACACATATATATATATATATATATATATATATATATAAATTGCTTCATTTTTTCTATTTTTATAAATTGCATCATTTTTTTCTATTTTTAGAAATTGCGTCATTGTTGCTATTTTAAGAAATAGCTTCATTTTTTTTCTATTTTTAGAAATTGCGTCATTTTTTTTTATTTTTAGAAATTGCGTCATTGTTGCTATTTTTAGAAATTGCGACATTTTTTCTATTTTTAGAAATTGCGTCATTTTTTCTATTTTTAGAAATTGCGTCATTGTTGCTATTTTTAGAATTTGTTGCTATTTTTAGAAATTGCGTCATTGTTGCTATTTTTAGAATTTGTTGCTATTTTTAGAAATTGCGTCATTTTTTCTATTTTTAGAAATTGCGTCATTGTTGCTATTTTTAGAAATTGCGTCATTTTTTATTTTTAGAAATTGCGTCATTGTTGCTATTTTTAGAAATTGCGTCATTTTTTCTATTTTTAGAAATTGCGTCATTGTTGCTATTTTTAGAAATTGCGTCATTTTTTTCTATTTTTAGAAATTGCGTCATTGTTGCTATTTTTAGAAATTGCGTCATTTTTTGCTATTTTTAGAAATTGCGTCATTGTTGCTATTTTTAGAATTTGTTGCTATTTTTAGAAATTGCGTCATTTTTTCTATTTTTAGAAATTGCGTCATTTTTTTCTATTTTTAGAAATTGCGTCATTGTTGCTATTTTTAGAATTTGTTGCTATTTTTAGAAATTGCGTCATTGTTTCTATTTTTAGAAATTGCGTCATTGTTGCTATTTTTAGAATTTGTTGCTATTTTTAGAAATTGCGTCATTGTTTCTATTTTTAGAAATTGCGTCATTGTTGCTATTTATAGAAATTGCGTCATTTTTTTTATTTTTAGAAATTATGTCATTTTTTTGTATTTTTAGAAATTGCGTCATTTTTTCTATTTTTAGAAATTGCGTCATGTTGCTATTTTAAGAAATTGCCTACTGTTGCTATTTTTAGAAATATGCTTAATGTTTCTATTCATATATATACAAAATATATAAAGAAAACAAATGTGACAAGACAGACCAACTAAATTTATAGAAAGGAAACGTTAATATATGTTCAAACCTTTCTATGTTTGCGTTTAGAAAAAGTAAAAAGTCGAGCGTTGCCCCCGCCCGGCGGTGGCTCTTGTTATAAAATAATTGCGAAAAAAGTCTAAGTGACTATGTTCACTTAGACCTTTTTCGCATTGACTGTTTTTCATATTTCACTTAGTCTTTTTTCGTATTTTTTAAATATATATAAAAATTAATGTGTTGTGTTCAAGATTTTTTCACAGAAGATGTATATACAGATTTCAAACACATTTATATAAAAAAGTGATTTTCTGAAAAAATGTCACTTAGACCTCTTTCGCTTTCACCCCTCGATTTCATAATTTAAGTAGGATAATTGGATCAAAAACCAACACAAATTAAGTATCAAAACATGTTTCGCTTTATTTAGCTTCCTCAGTTGATACATAAATAAAAATGATTTTAAGTTCTGAATTTAATCAAGGAACTTGTAAATAATTAGATTAAACAATTACTTGCATCTTTAATTGTTCACTAAAAATTTGACAAGAAAGAAAAACATGATAATATGAATTTGTTGTTTTAAAAATTACTTGTATTGAGTTATATAATGAAATAGATAAGAATTATTTATTATTTTGTAGGGCCACTATTCCACTAGTATTATTACAGAAACCATTCTCTTCAGGAAAGCCTATAACAAAAAATCAGGTCAGTAACACATGTTACATTGATTGATATATTACCATGCCTCTTAATGTATTCATATTTGGTATATTATAATAATGTTCTGATAGTAAGCTGAGGATGAAGTTTATAATTGCATACAGTTAAAATGACTTCATTTCTTGATATCAAATTACTACAGAATTGTACTTGTATATATACATGTAGTAATGTGTTGGCTGGACTGTGTGCTCTGGTAAATTCATTGTTGCTTACTGCAATTATCTGAAGGGTAAACTACCACCACCACCACTTGTTACATAGTCAATAGTTTATCTCTTATTCTATGAGATTACATGTACATATTCTGACATATTCTGACACAGTTTTATGTCCCAATAAAGATAAGAGAAAAAACTTGTAATAATTTTGTAATTTGTCTAAGACTGTATCTATATTATGCATCAAGATCTTATTATAGAAATCCTTTGAAATACACTTTAGCATGCTGCTTAGTAAATTTAAATAGAAAATAAATTGAATAGTTAATCAACTTTATGATAAAATAATTTGAAAAAAGTTAACTACAATGATTTATATATTTCACTAGTGGTTTCGTATAACTCGTCATGCATTTGTTGGTTGTATACTTGGAGTATTATGGATGTTTGGTTTATCACTGTGTGGACCTTTACGTACAATATTACTGTATGAACACAGTGACATCTTAGTTATAGCCTGGGGTAGTACTCTCTTCACAAACTCCGGGGCAAGTCCAGCAAAGGTGAGTTACTGAATATCTTTTGATCTACAACAGTATAGATATTACAAAAATAAATTAAATTTTAGTTTAGTGTTGAAATTTTTTTAAATAAGGTATGTTCAAAGCCATTATGAAGAATGTACAAGTTTGTAATACACACCTTGACTGGACCATAATGATTCATTGTTGGTTAATACATGTATTTTATTAACTGTAAAATGTTTTAATCTAATATGATCGTAGTTACAAAACTTTATTAACAGAAATAAATATAAAAAAATGACACAAGACCTAAATCATGATACTGGAAAAGGATATGATTCTGAAATGTCTTTATACTCTGAATTAATGATTCACCAATTATTTTATTAGCATTGATCTACTGAAGCATGTATAGTATATACAATATGTTTTATGAAATCAATGAATAGCAAGTATGTATGATGTCAAGATTTTACTACAACTTAACCTCCCTTCCTTGAATGAAGTCATTATAATCTAACCACTATATTTGTATATTAAAAGAAATAAAATGTCCATCAAAAACTTATACCATTGTGGTGCTGGTAGTTACTATTAGCCTTTTCTACCAGTATAGATACAGGTGAGCACACACATCTGTACATTTTGTGCTGTATGTGCAATTTCTATACTGTGAGTAAACCTCATCAGAATTCAGATTCTATATTCTGAAACTAAAATCTCTTATTGAAAGTCGGTTCTTAATACAAAACTGGAGAACTACCATATTATACAAGCTTGTGTTAATGATAGTTTCTAGTTTCAATTCTGTAACAAGCACCATAATAGTTGTACTTATTACTCAAATTTAAAGAAAGTTTGATATATATAAAATAGTGTTGTTGTAAATGACAAATTAAATCTATTTAAGAATATCAAAATTAACATAGGTTATTGATGGACAAATATCCATGTAGTAAACACTTGCCATAGACTATAAATGCCTGCATGTTTTACAGATCCGTGGTGCTGTATGTTTCCTGGTGGCTGTGATTGCATTGCTTCTGTTTGACCATGATGAAAAATTAGACAACCTCTCTGACCATGATTGTATCCTTCTATAACTTACATTATAATGATTGTTACAATTAAAAGAGTATCCTAATATAGAGTGGATATTCAAATGTGATAATGTGTATTAGTTTGTATTTGTGAGAATATGGAATATCTGTGAAATTTCAAATGTTTCATAGGTAGTATTGTACATATTTTTACATTGTTGTTAAATTATTTTTTTTATATTACCAAATTTTCTTTTCCTTTTAGTATTTTGTTGAAATAATACAAATTAAGTTTTTCTTATTAACTTGTTTGTAGTTTTAGCTTGACTATTCGAGACCTATTGTATTCACCTAGGCATTGCAGGGCTTGAATTTAGCACTAGCAAACTAGCAAAGTGCAAGTCAAAATAGAAAAATGCCAGTAACTTTTCACTTGCAAACTTTCGCTTGTGTAGTAAATAGTTTATGAATATAAATTGATATAACTAATTAAAAATGAAATGAAATTTTAACAAAAATATGATCTCCAAAGGCAACACATGTGACTCAGCATTTGCACAAGAAACAAATACAGATATATGCATAAACATCATGTTATATATTGGTAAATACTATGTTGAAAAAAAATGCAAGTTCTGTTTGGATTTTTTGTACGGTAATTGTACCTGCAAAAATGTGGGGGAAAAATGTAAAATTATAGCCTTAGCGAAAGGTGTAGGCTTTGCTGTCACATTTTGGTTAAGTTTTTTAAGCAAGTTGGTATCTTCAAAACTACTGAAACTTCACACACTTATTTTAGAACATAATAGGAGGTAACCACCAAAGGCCCATAAGGCTAACTTGGATTTTGACAGAATTATTGGCCTCTTTTGAACTTAGAAAATTCTACATTATCCATGCTCTTGTTTTACTATTAAGCACTGAGAATATTTGAGCATGTTGTCCTACTGACAGGTTTTGGTAATAGCCTCCTTGCCATTTAGGATTTAAACCTTAACAGATAGATCAGCGGACCACAGACATCATAATATATTGACATATATGTTTTATCATGTGATCAACATTGTTGGATGGTCGGATCATAAGGTAATTATGCTCTAATTTACATTCTGAACACTTAAGCTGCAATATGTCATTGCAGTACCAACATTATAGTCTTAATGCCAAACCAGTCTACAATTTTTTTTGAGCCAGACAAGACTCGACAATATGTTTTGCTTCTAAACTTTTTCATTTGATTTAAAATGTCTTAATATAGAAATGGACAAAATGTCAACAAGAATTATTTTGTTGTTGGCGAGATATACAAGTATTAAAGGTACTAAATCGAAGAATTAAATTGTGTACTCTACATTCAATTTATTGAAAGTGAAATTATATAAACTTATTTTTTATGCAATAAAGAAAATAATTCTATGTAAAGTTAGAAAGTTGTTGATTTATTTCAGGGTGGCGTTGTATTGTTGTTCCTCACTCTTTGTCTCAATGTTGGATATAACAGTGCTGCAAAGAAGTTATCTGTTGATGTGGGAGGAGCTAAAAGATTACACTCCCTGTCATCACTGATACAGGCTATGATCCTCGGACCGTGGGCTTATATTGTATCTTCTGCTTCAGATTCTCAGGTACCTCAAATGACGAACATTTTAACGTTAGATTTATGTTTTAATATGTGTGTATTGGTTTATATGTTTAAGTAACTCATTTGGTTGTTTTTTCAGAAGGGTATTGCTAACCAATGAAGGAAGTGGAGATTTAAAATGGAAGGAACTTAAAACTAAAGCTAATTTATCATTTCAAATTAGTATGTATTTTGTACAAGTATGCTTAATTTTCAAATATATCCTGAAATAATGTAACATCAGATAATAATAGGAACTATTTAATTTGTATGTTAATCTATATGAAAAGTTGATACAAATGTAGTATATAACAATCAAATTTTTTAACTCTAAGTGTTTATAAGGACCTCTGCAGCCAATTGGTTAACTTTGCTGACTTTAACCACTTTTCCATCGCCACTGTGAGTTTGAATCCTGCCAGTGACTTTGGAATTTTTCATGTGAGGAAGCTATCCAGCTCGCTAGAAGGTTGGTGGCTGGAATGAGGTGCTTGTGCCTGAAATAATGTACGAGGGGACACCTGAACTCTTCTTCCACCATTAAAAATGGAAAGATGGCAAATGACCTTAATAGTGTTAAAGTAACTTTAAAAAGAAAACCTAAAAAGTGTCTACAAAATAAAACTTCAGTTTAATAGTGCTCTTTATGTTATATTACAGGTCTCCTGGATTTCTATGATTTTCCCACTTGCACTGATCATATTGTTTGTGTTTATCTTTGACTACTATATCGAGGCAGTATCAGTCGTACATATCCAGGCCACGAAGACAGCCGAGTATGGAGCGTATGCCATGTTTGGTGGTGCCCTGTTCCTAGCTTTAACCTGGAACCATCCATATACTGCCACCATGACCAGTATGAACAAACTACAGGAGATTATCACAGAGGATCATGTTCTATCAGCTGGTGTTGTCTTCAGTCTTGGTGCTTTTGTCCTTGGTAAAGTCTCTATATTTGTAACAATCTGTTCAACTTATGGCTGGATGCCTTCAGATATATGAGGAAAAAATATCTGGAAACAGGGACTTAAAGTAAATGTGTCTTGCAGATGCCACAGTCAGGCTTTATTACACTTTAGTTGCTTAATTTAAGTATGTGTGTGAATTAATAACTTATTTAAGATCTGATTTTTAGGGAAAAAAATGAAGTTTGTCTCAATGTATTGTTTAAGAACTTTATGAACATTTAGACAGTGTCGCAGGTGAACAAAAGACATTTAGGCCCTGAAAGCAAAACAACTATTTCACACTTTAATCCTGATTAAATAAAAAATATATTATCTTGTTCTTACAGCATTAAACTGTTAACACAGATATTAGAAAGTTAAACCAAAAGAGTCATTTGATTAATCAATCATGTTAGTGTCAAATTAACAATTGTATATTTTGTTTTGGTCTAGCATTGGGCCAATCATTGCATCCATCTCCTATTGACTTCTAGTTACTATATGCCATGTATGTATATGTAAGAAAATGTTACCTATCTTTTACTAATAAGAAGTAACTTAAATTAAATAATTCAACATGTGCCAATATCTGTAGCAAGTTAACATAAATTGTGACTACATGGTTATACAAAAATGTTTTCATGAGTTTTTAAAAAAAAAAAAGAAACATCAAAAACTAGCATGATTTGTAATACAGTATTTGTAAATGGTTCTGGTTTAATAAAAAATTTATTTACAGCTACAAAGATTTTGTTGGGTCCAGTGCGAAGTAACAAGGGGAATTTTATTGGCTACAGTATGGATGGAATGCCGATGTATAGTTTTACACGAGATGCGTTACAGCAGACATCACAGTCTCTTGTCATGCACCTGAAACACTCACTCAAACAAGTCCTTGAGGATAATGACTCGAGGAAAATATTCTACTTCCTCTGTATAAACTTGGTAAGATAATAAACAGCTGGATTTGTTTCCTATATGCACCAGGCCCGAAACAAAATGGATTGTTTATAAAAAAAAATGAACTTGAAAAATTTCATCAGAAATCTAGTGGAAAAAAGATCTTTTCCATGGGCCATTTAAGTTTTTAATTGATGAAACATCATACATGTCAATTTTGCAAAAGCAGCAGACAATGTTTGCTTTAACAGTGATGTATTTTGGTTTAATATTATTATCAAACATTTCAGTGTTTCACATTTGTTGAGATGATATATGGTGTATGGACAAATAGTTTAGGTCTGATATCAGATGGTTTTCACATGTTATTTGACTGTTCTGCCCTTGTGATGGGCCTCTATGCTGCGATGATGACCCGCTGGAAGGCCACTAGAATATTCTCATATGGGTAAGGAATGACTTGTATATATTAGATGAAACAATTGTTTCTTGAGCAAATCTTTTCAATGCAGTCTTAACTTATAAAAAAAAGAAATTACAAATGCTCATATTTATACACTTTAATAAAAACAAAATATGAACTCAAGTTTGGGAAAAATGTCTCCACATTGAGCCTTCTTAAAATGAGCAGATGAATAGAAATAGAGTTAATACAAATTGAAATTGACTTGTAACAATTTCTGATCAAATATGTTATTATACCCCCAAAAACGAAGTTTGGGGGGGTATATAGGAGTCACCCGGTGGTCGGTTGGTCGTTCGGTCAGTCGGTCGGTCCAGACTTCCGTTGCATTTTCCTTGTCCGGACCATAACTTGAAGACTAATGGTTGGAATTCAATATAACTACATACAATGGTCAAGCACATTGAGAGGAAGTGCAGTGCACAAGAACCATAACTCTATCTTGACTAATTACAGAGTTATTGCCCTTTGTTACTTTTCCTTGTCCGGGGCATAACTTGAAAACTACTGGTTGGAATTCAAAACAACTTCATACAATTGTCAAACACAATAAGGGGAAGTGCAGTGCATAAAAACCATAACTCTATCTAAAGTAATTACAGAGTTATTGCCCTTTGTTACTTTTCCATTGCTTTCTTTTGTCCAGACCATAACTTGAAGACTAATGGTTGGAATTCAATATAACTACATACAATGGTCAAGCACATTGAAGGGAAGTGCAGTGCACAAGAACCATAACTCCATCTTGACTAATTACAGAGTTATTGCCCTTTGTTACTTTTCCTTGTCCGGGGCATAACTTGAACACTACTGGTTGGAATTCAAAACAACATCATACAATTGTCAAACACAATAAGGGGAAGTGCAGTGCACAAGAACCATAACTCTATCTAAAGTAATTACAGAGTAATTGCCCTTTGTTACTTTTCCATTGCTTTCTTTTGTCCGGACCATAACTTGAAGACTAATGGTTGGAATTCAATATAACTACATACAATGGTCAAGCACATTGAGAGGAAGTGCAGTGCACAAGAACCATAACTCTGTCTTGACTAATTACAGAGTTATTGCCCTTTGTTACTTTTCCTTGTCCGGGGCATAACTTGAAAATTACTGGTTGGAATTCAAAACAACTTCATACAATTGTCAAACACAGTAAGGGGAAGTGCAGTGCATAAGAACCATAACTCTATCTAAAGTAATTACAGAGTTACTGCCCTTTGTTACTTTTCCATTGCTTTTTTTTGTCCGGAGCATAACTTGAAGACTAATGGTTGGAATTCAATATAACTTCATACAATGGTCAAGCACATTGAGAGGAAGTGCAGTGCACAAGAACCATAACTCCATCTTGACAAATTACAGAGTTCTTGCCCTTGTTACTTTTCCTTGTCCAGAGCATAACTTGAAAACTACTGTTTGGAATTCAATACAACTTCATACAGTTGTCAAGGACATTAAAATGAAGTGCAGTGCATAAGAGCCATAACTCCATTTTGACAAAATACAGAGTTACTGCCCTTTGATACTTTTCCTTGTCTGGAGCATAACTTAAAATGTACTGGTTGAAATTCAAAACAACTTCATACAATGGTCAAGCACAAAAAGAGGGAGGAAGTGCAGTGCACAAGAACTATAACTCCATCTTCAGTATTTATAGAGTTATTGCCCTTTGTTCCTTTTCTTTGTATTTCTGGACTTATTACAGAGTAATTCAATAAAATTTCTTCAATGGTCAACCACATTGAAAGGAAATGCAATATACAAGAACCACAACTATCTTTAATTGCCCACAGCCATAACTCTATATTTCAATTCTTTTACAAGGTATTCTGTTACTAGTAACATCCTCATTTCCGAAGCAGTCTTGTGGGGGTATTAATCACATTTAGTGATAGTTCTAGTTTTACATGAAGAAATATGTTGTATTGTTTGTTTCAGGTTTGATAGAGTAGAGGTGTTATCAGGATTTGTAAATGGTTTATTTTTGGTTGTGATAGCAATATTTGTGTTCTCTGAATCCCTCCATCGTCTTGCCGAACCCCCAGAAATAGACACCAATAGATTACTGGTAATATTTTCTTTGTTGATACAGTATATTTATAATTAACCTCTTACATACATGTATATGAATGTAATAGAATATTTCTGCTTTTATACCTCCATTATGGTCTTTTAAGGAATTACAAATACTGTTGAACATAAAATGATATGCACCCTATACTTCTTCTATAATGTTAATTAAAGAAAAAGTAACAATAATTAAGTAACCAATAGTTCTGTGTTAGGTTAGAGTTTGTTGATATGCAATTTTAGACAAAAAGCATAATAGAAATGCATGCATTGGTAGAATGTCAGTCTATATTATCAATTCAGGTTCTTCCAATTATAATTTTCTTGGAAAGACCCTGATTATAGTTAAAAAGTTGAAAATATTTGCAATGATAGAATGTCATGTCATATATTTTTCCATTTCAGGCAGTTTCTGTGATAGGACTTTTAGTTAATATGATAGGAATATTTGCTTTCCGTGGTAGTCATGGACACTCACATGGAGGGGGTCATGGACACTCACATGGAGGTGGTCATGGACACTCACATGGTGGGGGTCATGGACACTCACATGGAGGGGGTCATGGTCACCAAACTTCACATCATCAATCACATAATACAAATATGGAAGGTAAATATTCTGAGTTTTCTCACATTTTAGATTTAAATCTAAATTATTTCATTACAACTAGAAGGTTGTCTCTAAAACCATGAATTGTCTTGAATTAATAAAAATCACATATTACGCTTGTAAGATCTATTTGTTATCCTTAAACCCAGATCACAATTTTATTTTCAGGAGTGTTTCTTCATGTGTTAGCAGACACTCTTGGTAGTGTTGGTGTCATTATATCATCGTTACTGATAGAAAATTTTGGTTGGAATATAGCGGATCCTATATGTTCACTATTTATAGCCACAATGATACTGCTCAGTGTGTTCCCACTGTTGAAGGAGACTTCATGTATATTATTATTACGGTGTCCCTCAGACATGGAGAACGACATATCTGAAGCTTTAAATAAGGTAAGCTACCGGTTGTGACATTTTAATAAACTCTTGTAGTGAACTCTGAATTTGGAGTTGTCTGTCAAAATTTGAAGGGATTTCAGTATGAACAACCAATAGTATTTCAGTCTGGTCATGATGCAAAGATTTGCAGGTTGTTCTGGCTAGGCAAGTCACTATGCAGGGTTCCCACGCTGTCCGGGAAAACGGGAAATGTCCGTGAATTTGAAAACAGAAGCTCCCGGCCTTGAAAAGTCCGGGAATTAGTGTTGATACATAAAAAAGTCCGGGAAGGTACGGGAATTAGTCTGGTAAAGGGGAGGTAAATCAAACAACCAAAATGGCGGTCTTAGCACAGTATATTGACTTCTGCATCTTGAATGTTGATGATTTTTCGATTTACAAGTGTTTTGGGAGGCCAATTTTGACATTTATGAGATTTAACATTTATTTTCTGGTTACTATGGCGGTTTTGTTTGGAAAATGTTATAAGACAGTCACAAATCGACCACAAGTTTGCTTGATTGGCCCGTTCTAAGAAACATGAAAGCTCACAGGTCTGGTTGTTTCCTTGGGCAATTTGTTTAACCTTATTGCTCACAACCATGCTAAAAGCCAAAGGTAAATCAATATAAAATAAACAATAGTATTACATACATGAACTATTGTCAAGGCAGAGCACAGCCAGTTGGCCACACCATATTTGGGTAGCAAGAAATACCCAAATATTAGCCACAATATACTAAAAATGAATGTGTTATACTAAAAAAAGTGCTGTTTTAATCATGAATACAATATACACTTTCACTAAGATGTAATCGAACATACCCAAAATTTCATTTTTGAACCAAAATATACCCAAATACAGTATACTCCATGAAAACTATTAAATAAAAAAATAATACGAATGAACTTGTATGTAAATACAACAAAATTATACCCTTCAAATTTAAATGTAGACAACAAATCTCATATCTTGCAAGTACATTTGTCTATTCATTAATGACTAACAGTTAGAAAAGCAATGTCACTTTTTTTCTTACAACATCTGAACTGCCAATTTCAACGGAATGAATGAAAGTAATAGTTGGCTAAGTCACATTATTTTGAAAATATCATTCATTTTCTCATTAAAATCTATATTGTATACAAACAAAATGAATATTGCTATAATTGTGTGTGTTTGGGTATTTTTGTGCTGCTGCCATATTTTGTAGAACCGTAGCACTGGCTTAAGCAGAGTACAACATTTAAACATGAAAGTTGTGAAATTTTTAATGTAGAAACACCTGCAGGCAGTTTTCATATACCCTTCAGTGTGACATGCTTTTGCCATTCTATGTACCTAAGTGGACTGAGGTCAAATGTGAGGTTACTTATTAAGTACTATGAATATCTTGTAAAAAAAGTGATCCCTTGGAAGCATTAAAAACACCAAAATTACATGAAAATTGCAGACAACCTGCAACAGTTGCTGTCACAAAGTACATTTCATTACTTATAGACACTGAATGTATTTCTTAGATAGAGTTAGATTTATGTCATGAACTACATGTATTATATTGTTATTAAATGTTGTTTTAAACATTACCATGAAAATATTCATAGGACAAAAAAATCGAATAGCTTGAAATTCAATCTTCTAAAAAGTCCTTAAAAAATCAAAAAAGGTCCTTGATAAGTCCTGGAAAAGTCCTTAAATTTTCAAAATATCTACGAGTGGGAACCCTGACTATGGCTGTTATAATTTTCCCTTTAAGTTGTCTGCTCCAAGTAAGGCTTTTAGGTCAAATTATGACATTCACGTTATTCAGACTTGTTTAAATCTTTAATCATTTTCATTAGATGATAATTAACAATATTGTAAATGGTACATGTATATTTGATCATGTACAAAATTTGTGATAGTTTCTGAAACTAAGCAGTTTTTGTTGATTATACTACAAACAAAGAATGTTTTACCAAAATAAAAATCTCTATGTGATAATAGAGGAAAATAGAGACCAAGAAACATTATGTTTCTCCACAAATAATTTAAATCATTTGTTACTATGCAAATATGTTCTTGGTTACTTCTCATTATAGTTTGGACCTGTACTTTGTTGAATATGTGAGATGGATTTACTCTGCTTTGTAATTTGGAATAGTCCATTGTTGGTGGAATGGATATCTATGCCAAAATAAGAAATAAACAGTAGTTTGTCAAGACAGACTTGCCTGGTATTACATTTGCTTGCAAGTTATGATTTATACTTGTGTTCATACAGTTTTATTAGTCATACATGTATTTTGATTTTCAGGTGTTGAATCTCGAAGGTATTGTTTCCTACAGGGATCCTCATTTTTGGTTCCACACATCTAGTAAAGTATTTGGGACTTTACACATACATATATCACCTGATGGGGTTGAACAAAAACTTATTTCACAGGTATATGATGTTGCTATATAGTTTATTGTTATCATTAAGAAATAATATTGTAATCAACTATGTATGACAAACTCATCAGCTAGACACTAGCCAGGCTATGATCATTGTCATATATTTATATAATCATTTAAAGACATATTATGCCTCAGAAACAAACAAACAAACTTCTTTAGAAAGGTCAAACATGAGTTTACAGCATTTTAGAGCATGTTAAATGCTTGTTACCTGAAGAAAGTAGCAGTAAATGTGAAATTATTTGTCATGAAAATAGCAAAATGTAAACTAAGTAGTGTTTTTTGACTTTCATACAAAATACTAAATCACTAGCTAGACTAGTTGCCAAAAAGCAACAGAAGAAAATGTAAGGTCAGGTAATTGCCCAATCTTATTAGAAACTATAAAAGTACACCAGAAATAAAAACTTTTTTTAGAAATAAAAGCATTTCAGGGACATAATGGGCCTGTAAGGCTGTTTTCTGAAGTGAAACCAAAATAACTTGATCAGTACCCAGTAGACCTAGATTTTCCCTTTATGCTAAGATTATTTCATTTAATCATATTTCAGCTGCTTTTCTCACACACATGTGAATGCTCTTATTTATTACTTTTTAAATGTTGTTTTAAGCTGCCAGTGATAGCAGATCTGTAGAAGAGAATATTATAAATATTAATAATAAACTTAATATATAAGTAAAACTTCTTTGCTGTTGTTGTCATGATTTTTGCACACATTTGCAGTTTTTATGACACTTTACTACTACAATTAACTGAATATTATACTGTTGTATATTATTGTTTTATTTAGGTGAGTGCAATATTAAAAGATGGAGGATTACATTCAGTGACTGTCCAAGTAGAGAAAGATGAATATTTTCAACATTTATCAGGACTTGGGGCCAACTTAGATCAAAACTCTACAAACTTTCCTCTTCTAAATTTTGACAAAAGCAATAGTGTAAAAGCTGTGTAGTTTTTCACAACTAGATGAATGTTACAATGGTTACAATGTTTGATACAGGAGATTATATCTTAAGTTAAAACAGCTTATCCTTTCTTCTTTCATGAAATAAGTATGCACCTTTTTCAGCAGTTTATTATTTGTGGCTGCTTAACAAGAGGTCTGAGCAAATTTTTTTTCCTGTTTACCTCCCTTGATACCTAAACACAAATTTGACAAAATATCTGCTTAGATGAAGTAAAAGGTCTGAAACTCTGAACACTACTGAAATAATGATTATACTAGTAGTTTATTCTTGCCATTTGTATATAAATATGATTTCTCCCTACCATTCTATGATAAATCAGGAAGAACAACACTGTAACATTCATGAGAGTTTTTGCATCAACTGTGAACTAATAGCTTTATATACAATCAGGTTAAAAGTTCATCAGATCTGATAGGATGATATTTTAGCTTTAACGAAAAACACTTGATACATGTATTTATGTATGGATGTGCTGTAAATAAATAAGTATATGCGGTAGCCACGAGTGAAATATGGTAATTTTCATGCCACAAGATGAAAATAAATCATATATTTATAGAAAAAACTTGAATATCCTCTATGTACTTGGTTTTTCCAAAGTAATCATTTTTATTTTGCAAAATGACCCAAAAATGAACAGTGTTCTATTGGTTTTAACTCCTGTCAGGCTATTTATCAATAAAAATTTGATTTTCAATTTAATTCCAAGTGTATTTCTTAATCAACTTGCACACATTTTTTTCCATTTTCAGTACATTGCATGAATTCCAAATTTTATGATTTTCGCTTATTGACCTTAGTGGAGTTCTTTTGAGATTCAGTTCAAATTTGCTGTGAACATCTTTGTGACAGTTTAACTTCTATTGGCTCATATTACACCAGTCAAAGCCTTTAGGAATCATCAAAGCCTAAAATAGTAAAAACATCTTCTAATAAACCTTTTGGATGCATTGTCTCATCATTTGATTTAAAACATCCTTACTTGGTCTTCTTTCACAACTGTTTAAATAGATATGGCTGGCCTCATTTAGAGGTTGCTAGAAGTTAAAAGATTAACAAATTCTTCTTTTAAACAAATTGATTTTATCATGAACTGGGTAGTCTACTATTTTATTCAGTATTGACTCTTTTTAGGTCTGGCTAATGCTGAAAATAGGAAAAAAACATTAAATGACTTTTTGAGTAAATTGACATGCATATCATTAACTTGCTTAATGAAGAATCAAAGTGGGTATATAGCAATATTTGGCAGAATATTTCTTTGTATGTGCACATCATTATAACAAATAAATCTGCCTTTGACATTTTTTAGAGCCATGCAGGTCCATTAAGGTCCTAATATTTGGTTGTACATGTATTACAACTTCATATACTTACTTGAGAGCATAATAGGATGTCAGTATCCAAGGCCCATAAATCTAACGTAGATTTTGATAGAATTATGACCTTTCTTGAACTTAAAAAAATGTACATTATCCAGGCCTGGTTTACTATTAAGCACTGAGAATAGTCGAGCATGTTGTCCTACCACATCTTTTGTTTATATAGTTATGGCAAAAATATAAATTGTTTGTTTTATGTCTGATTTAAATATGAAAATAATTTTCCCAGGTTTTTTGCATTATTTTTTCCCATTAAGATTTATTTGGGAATAAAAAAGATCTAAGACTTGTCTTTTTTTTGGGGAAATAGAAAAGGGAAATTTTTACTTTTTTACAAATAAAAAAATTTATTTAAGTTTGTTTACCGGGCCATGAAACCTAAGAAATTGTTTACATCATCTCTGACAGAGTAAATAAATCTTTTACACATTTTGACATGGTTATGCCCCCTTTTCAGTTTAATGATTACATTATGATAAAGAATGGTCGAGTGTGCTGTCTTACAGACAACTAATGTTGTTAAATATATTTGCTGCCATTAGTCTAGTTAATTTAAAAAATTAACTGCAATTGTTACCAGGTAGCTTTAAGCATGAGTGCCAATTTATACTGTCTTAACACTGTATGTGCACATCAATATAACAATTTTGTTTTTGAAATGTACAATTATTTATTGAAAATAAAAGCATGATTAGACATTGGAATAATGTATTTTATTGTTCATTTAATTGGATATCCTTATTATCAGAGATGTAGATGACATCTGTGTCTCTATTATTATACCGTAGATTTGATATTTTTCAGTACAAACTTCATATATAAGTATTGTTTAGACGATAGTATGTCAGTCTTGTATTGTTTTTCAAGTGTTATTTATCTAACTGTCTGCCCAGACGTCTATGTCCTAGAATATCTACATTTGTTTGTTAATGGAAGACACTATCCAGTTAGCTTAGCAAGGAAGCAACACTATAATTAAACGTTTGACCCCATCTAACATCAGGAAGATATATATCATGATACTGATAAGTATTCGGGTAAACGATCATTGTTAAGCCCTGAGCAAAAAATTAAAGGTGACTGTCATTTGTTTTGACATAGAAACACTTTTTAACATCCGCTCCAGGATCAGTGTAAACGAGTTAAATTCTTTTTGTTTTAGTGTAAAATACGACAGGTTATTTTAATTAGTTTAATAATATTTTATTGCATATTTGTACATGATTAATTTCACAAATCAAACATCAAATATCTTAAGCATGAAATATAATGTACATAACAAAAGGGTTGGACCAAAAGTTATACCAACATTATCTAGGGTCCTCCCCTGAAGGTCTATCTTGTTGGCTTAATGGTAACATAGTAAGTAAATGTGGTTTTTAGAAATTCTGAGATATTTATTAAGACAGGTTATTTAGAATTGTGCACGAAAATAAAGGGATTGCCCTGCGTGGAAATAAATGTAATACAAATGTAGTAATAAACACATATACTTAATAAACAACTGTTCGTTATGAATTTAAGGGAAGTCAGAATCAAACACTTAAATAGCGAAAATTTGAAAAAGATACATAAACCAACATCAGTTGATATGGAATGTATAAATACATGTACAACTGACATGTATGCACCTGTGTTTTATCCTCGCCCACTTATACATTTTCCTTAAATTAAGACCAGATCCTTTAATTACAGGAAGGACACACTTGACGGTCAGTAATGCATGGAAGTGATCTCTGATTAATTATAAGGAAGATCTAGATCTAAGGAAGATCTAGATCTACATAGTTTCATAAGTTTATTGCGTTTATTCAAACTTTATTGTAAACAAATAAAAAATTAATTTAAGAATAATTACAGTGAATAACTGGAATTTAAACGTGTCTATTATCGAAATCGATTTCTGCAAGAATATTACAATTTCTAAATTCAAATGAAAATACATCAATAAAATCTGGAAACATGCAGTTATTTTTTCACATTGCTGTTATTTTCGTGTGCACATTTATTACAACGACAGACGCGGACTTAGATGTTCAAATATGTGATAGCAAAAACTTTACTATTTCAAATACTAGTAGTATTGACATTATGAACATCAGAATGCAGACGACAGTCGAACAGACTACCTGCCAGTGCAGTATTACGTCTGATACATATTTGGACATTATTCTTAAAGTATTCGTATTTGTACATCACGATGGACACGACCAGATTCCACTGGAAATAAACTATGAAATTGATGGACGAACGCACACAGTAAACACTTTAAACGGCTTGCAACCATTCTTGAGGATTGCAGCAGAAGACATGGTTGTTGCGAGAAATGCGAGTAATATAATTATCAAGTTGGAGGAGTCGGGTACCAACAAAACAGACGTAAAGTTTCTAATAGAAATTAAAACATTTAATGAAATGGGAGAACAAATAAATGTGAATTGTCTGGCGTTGGGAACTCTTAACGACACGAGAAAATATCAAAATGAAGAGGATGAAAACGAAATTTTAGAATATGTCGAGGACCTGTGTTCTAGTAGCCCTATACTTGTAATACTGTTAGCAGGAGTGTGTGTAGTCCTCCTAATTATTATTTTAATCGTGTCCATCATTTTGTGTTGCGTGATGCCAAGGAAACAGCGTGAGCAGATAAAGCAAATACGACATTCTATGTTGGCGGACACTGCCAACCCACATTTACCCTAACCAAGACAGACCGGATAAGACCGGAAGGAAGACTCTCGGATAACCCGCGGAAATCAAATGTCAGCGACAATAATATTTTAGACGTGCCGTTTCCACCAGATTACTTTAATAAAACTTACCAATACCAGCCTTCAGATGTTTACTAGAATGTTTGACAATTACAAGTTTTTCACTGACATAGATTTACTCGTTCATTTAACAAAATCTATATGTATGAAAACAACTGGGGTGTGAATTGTCTTCTGCACTGTTATAAAAATGGATAAAATCTTACGCTAATCGTAATTTCATATATAAAGCAAGTCTTGAATAGTGTTATGAAGCAAGGAGCCTGTGGCAAGGCCGACTTGAATGCAAGGCTGTGCGCAATAACGCGGTTTTTACACCAAATATATAATTCTTTTTGTCACATAATATTATAATTAAACACACAAAAAAACCGCAGTAAATTGTGTTATATCATCACGTGTAACGTCTCCAAAGAAATACCCAATTTCTGTAACATTGACAAGTGTATCACTCGCTAAAGTTTATAAAAAAGCAATACATGTATATACTTAATAGAAGCGGAATCACTGTATAATTTACTAGTTCAGCAGCCATATACAATTCAATGTGTAATGGATATTACGATTACAAGCACCTTTTACTTTCGATGGAAGGTGGCACAATTCAGTTATCTTTTGTGATCCCTGGAAGTAGATGTGTTACTACAAATTTATATTAGGAAGAAACACGGACAATTTAGACATTGTTTTCTTTTCTGATGAATCAAACTTATTTAAACAAGAACATACGAATAATTTCTATGTTGTTATTATCAACATCAGACAAAAAGATTTAGTCAAGATGATTTTCATTGGGGTTAAAGTTTTGCCGAAATTCATTTTTCAACATGTTCCTCGCCTTTTGGGGTTTGGATCCCGTTGGGGGGTTTCAAAATTTTTTCTGGTTAACCCAAAAACTATCAAATAGGGTTAAGAAAACCCCCTTTTTCTTTCTCAGTCCCGCGTGGGGCCTGAAAGAAATGGATGGAGCACGAGAGGTGTTCTTTCAACAGAAAAACTGGAAACTCCTCGACTGACCTTTGCAGTGTTGGTGTGACTTAAATTCCAACAAAACAAACAGACTTAATAGGAAAGTGTACACGCCCCGTAAAAGTCGCGTTTTTCGGCTAATTGAAATTGTTTAGATTGTTTCTGTCGCCTAGCAGCTATGCATGACACCCGAAGATCATTTCTGTGTAAAAATGTCAAAAACAAACTGACAGGTTTTAGAACAATACAAATGTACCGATAAAACGTTCTACGGAAAAAAGATCACGCTTCTTGCGGTCATATTTTTCTATCAAATCAAAAATTTATTTGAACAAGAGATATATATTATACCTTTTAGGTATTGTTGTTGTTGTTTAAAGAAAAGTTTGGACAGAAGAACGCCAGGCAGTGAGTGATCAATATATTTTAAAAAAATCATTATCTTAAAAATGTATTTTTACATTTTTTCTATATATTTGCATTGTACATCTTGTAAAAAAGAAAGGAATAAATTATGTTTAAACTAATTAGTATTATACATTGTTATAACAACACACATTAAGATATATGTTACATACATTTCATAGAAATGCTTTAAATCGTTCGAATAAGAAATTTAAGATTTTACACATTTTTGAAATAGTACACTTTAAAACACAATTTTCACAGAATAAAACAATTGCATAGACGTTTAAGGTAGTACACCCCTAATGGGCACTATAAGGAATTGTAAATTTGACAACATAGGACAGTTATATGCCTTAAATGTCACCTGTATGCAAAATTTAAACAAAAATTACCGTGTGGTTAATGAGTTACGGACATTTTTATGAACTAAAACTTTGCCATTAGAAGGGATTTTTTCAGACATGAGGAAACTCTAAATAATCTATAATATCATCATTATGAAAAATGTAATCCTTTGACTCATTGTTAAGAAATAAATATTGACATTTAGGTAACAAATTAAACAAGCAAAATTATTGTTTTTAAACGAAATGTTTTTAATATGTATAAAAATGTAACCATACCCCACCCACTTTTAACACTAATTTGACCATTTCCCTATATAAAAAGCCTTATTTAAAATATCCCTAAAATTTTCAAAAATGAGGGGCTATTTTCAAAGTTTGCCTAAATTTTCTTTAATGTATATTGGTTGGTCTTGCAAAATATAAAATGCTTTAACCGTTTAGTTTTTATTTTATTAAACTTTGAAAATATCTGGTATCATATTTGCTATTAAATTTGGCATTATTTAGTAAATAAATACCTACAATAATTATATAATTAAAATAAAACACTTTTTTCTTCCATAGGGGGTCTGAGAGATTAATAAAAAATGTTAAAAAGAAAAAAAAGAAAGAAAAAAAATTGCCTCTTCTGGGGTTTGAACCCGCGCCCCCTCAGTTACAATACACTTTACAGTGATTTTAGCCTATTTGAATACTCTTCAAAGTGGAGACAGTGCATTAGGGGTGTACTACCTTAAGAAGAAGCAGTCACAAACTGCCTAATCCTAATCTTCACAAAAAGTTATGAAAAAAAAACCAATACATTTCCTATACTATTGACATAAAACAAATCAAAGGGCATTAACGTAGGAAAGTATCCTGTACGAAATAGTAAACCTTATGTCTACCGGACTACTTTACAAAATCGCACTGCATTTCAGGCAATCCGTCAATGGATATCTCACCGTGAGCTCTGGTGAGCTAAAATCATATGGCGTCATGTGATAAAATAACAAATGTGTTGATCGCCTGGAGTGCACTAAGCGTAAAAAAAATAATTAAATAATGCATCAGGCCTTGAACATATCATGTTTGTTGCAACTACTTTTTCAATAGCTTAAAAAAACCCAAAAAAAGGGAAATCGTCTTCAACCCAAAATTTAAAGTATAATTTTTTTTTTAAAGGGTTTTTTTAAACTTCAAAATTCCGGTTTTGGAAAAATGAAAAAAGTTTTTTTACACATAAAAATGGTTTTTTTTTAGAAAAATAAATTTTAGTAAAATAGCATAATGAAAAGGGACGAAACCCTTCAAAGTGTTTTTAAAACCCTAGAGCAAAAATCACCCAAAAATCATACTACTTTATAAATTATATATTTTTAAAACAAACTAATTTTTGGGCATAAATTAAATTAAAAAGAAAATCACTCGGGGAGGTTTTGGGCAATCTGATTAAAAATCAAAATTTCCTTTAACACTATTAGAATATTTACCGTATTGTTCTCATCTCAAGGTATTTTTCCTTTTTACTTACAACAGGTGGCAACTGTAGAAAATTGTCACGTGCTTCATCTATCATATTTTCCTGGCCCATTTGAGATCATTGATTCTAATACTTTTAATGTCGATTAAAGGCCCATTATGTCCCAGACATGATTTCTCATTGGCCACTTACCTTAACCACTTTTTACTTATTTTTCTTTTTTTGTTAATAAGTACAGTAACAGTGATTTAGTATTTTGTATGGAAGTCAAAATACCACTTTGTTTACATTTTGCTACTATTATCACGAAGAATTTCACATTCATTCTTCAGGCGATAAGCAATTTACATGCTCTTAACCTTTCTTTAAACAATATAAAATTCAATTTTGCCCTTTGTAAAGAAGGAAAAAAATATTGGTCTTTGAGACATAATGTGCCTTGACGCCGGTACTGGAGGGCATAAGATATGTTGCACCTTTCAATTGTTCTCTCATTGTTTTCGAGGGATCTCCATATTTTGCCTAATTTATTTTACTGTTAACCAAATTTTGATGTGTTAATATGAATGGATGCACCTTCTTAAAAACTACGTTCTCTGATTTTGTGGCCGGGAAACAAACAAAACAAACGAATTCTCTATGTGATAATGATGATTTATTTATAGCTTTGCATTAAAATCATACATGATTCAACTATTATACAAATTCCCATATATACACAATGAAAGTTTTACAATATTTACTTCCTGCTTTTTGTTGTTGGATATACAATGCACATGTATTTCTAAAATTTACCCCAATTTTTTACAATTATTTTAAGGCCCAAAAAGTCCCCCAAAATCTTGAATCTGGGAAAATTTTGACCCTTTAAAGGTAAAAGTCATTTTAAAAAAAAAAATCATAAATTTTTTTTTTACACTAACCCAAGGTTAAACCCTCCAAAAGTATGCAATGTGATTAACCCCTCCAAATTTATAGAATAAATTATTTTTGGCTAAAGTGAGAATTTTCCTTAAAAACCAAAAAAAAGATGATAATACCCCAAAAAAAAAACGTAAAATGTTTTTCATGATTTGTTGCCCGCAAACCCCGTTTTAAACCCAAACTATCAAACTTATCTTGGGGAATTAAAAATGAACAATTTAGATAAAACCCCAGAAAAAGCTGCCTTTACTTCATGAACAAAATTTAGAGAATGATCAAGAAAACAATTAAGGAGAGATAAATGTATACAAAAATTGATGTTAAAAAGTTATGAAACCTGACTAAATCAGTGCCTTTGTATCACGTGAAAATATTGCATTTTAAGAATTTATGCAAAATTACTAGAAATACTTAACTAAAATGATTGCAATGATTGAAACTACATGGACGCCACTCATCTGCAAGGGGCAATCCCATTTCACATCCTGTTTTTCTTTTTTACAGGTGTATGAAAAGAGTATAAATTTAATCAAATTTGATCATAATAATCTGAACATTTAAAGATAATTAAATTTTACTACAAAAATTTAACACTTTATTATTGTAAATCTGAACACACAATTCAAATAATAAAATGAACACATTCTTAATTTGTTAAATTAATAGATAACATGTGGAAGAACTGATTTCTATGACTAAGAAGTTCAACAATTAAGTCAATAAACTAATTTTAAACACTTCATCTGTCTTACATTTGATATTCAAATCTGTGCACATAATTAATCAATAAACAAAACAAGACCTGTGTTTCATTTTTCTCAGTGCTGGATATTTACATAAAAGTAACATAGAAAAGCGGAATAATTTTGCAAAAATTAAATTTAGGATTATCTACCATTTTGAAATGGTGTCCTTTTATGGCAAAGTAAATAGATTAAAAAGGTTCTGAGAAAATGTACCTTAACAATAAGCTTAACCATCGCCAAATTTGTGTGTCATGACAACAGCTCCACTATTTTCTTTCAAAAAGTGGAACTTAGAACAATACAAACATTCTCTAATTAAATGATTTTAATAATATACTTTAAATGAAATTTTATCAACAAATTTAATTGTTTTTTTTACAGCTAAATTCAATTTGCCAAATTGGTTATCAGTTCTTAAATATTAACAGTTTTATAGAAAAGTCTTTTTATATATGTCATACTTCATATAGATTTTTAGAAAAAATGTGACAATTAAAGGAACTAAGTCTAAATGATCATAATCTATTATTATAAAATAAATATGCCAACATTATGTAACTTAACAGGATAATTGTTTGTATAGTAAACATACTTGTACTAGTGTCAAGAAATCTTTTTCAAAATATAGACTTGTTTCAATATCAATACAAAGTATTTGGTAAATATTAAGTTGAAACCCCATCATGATGAAGGATAAAGTTCATCAGTGCACACATTACTGTATTTAAAACAAATAAACCAAATGTTTGCCATAAATTTGACAAATGGTCTTAAATTGTAATCAAATTCTAAAACAAAACCAAAAATTAGATCTTGTTTCTAGAAATAAATGAAACACTTTGAGTAAAAATAGGAGACATTGACTATTCTACATTCACATATTATTTTTCTAACTAAACATGTTTATTTACACTTTAATATAGCACTTAGAGCAAACATTTAATTGTTCAGTATCAGTGACCTTCTAGACCTGATTGCTTTAGACCTTGGACTCATCAATTTTGATGAATTTTTACCAGTTTCACCTTCTGGAGACTTCAGTAACGGTGATTGAATGAGGTGCATTAAGCTTTTTGCTGATACATTTGGAGAATATTTCTTATTTCCTGGTGATTTCAATAAGCATGCTGGTGACCTGTTTCCAGACTCTCTCCTAGTTCTGGAATTCTTTTGACCTATTTCTAAATCGTCTGAAATTGCCTGAGTGATACTAGTTTTTCCGCTTTTACTCCCAAATATTGGAGATTCTGACCGTTCATTATCACATTCATTGACAAACAGATGTCTCTTCTTTGATGCTCTATTTATATTCTCAACATTATACTCTTCAATCTCCATATTCTCTGTATTTTCATCCTGAGATGCAAAAACTTCATCATTTGATGCAGAGAAATAGTCAACTGAACTGTCGAAACTTTTCTGTGATAGATCATTAAATGATCCAGTTACATCAAATCCCTGACTACCCATAAAGCTATCATGTCCAGTTCGACGCCTCTTACTGAAAGAACCCACAGATTTCTCCGGAGATTGTATCAAGGTCCGCTTTCTTCTGTTAGATCCTTTAATTTTATTTTCTTCAATCATTTCTGACTGATTTCCTAGTAAGCTTGCTTTAGATTGGTTTAAGTTTACATTGCCTATAATGTCAATGGTTTCCTGATTAGTAATGGTGGCTTTTTGTGGTATTTTTACACTAGGGGAGGGTTGGGACATACGAGGTTTCATTCTACGCCATTTATCAAAGGAATCTGGAGTTTTAGCTACTTTCTTCACTTTTGGAGATGGTGTCTTTGCACAATTTGAATGTTTTTCATCAAGCAACTGGTTGTCCGCATTTAATTTATTAGACAAATTTGACACTTGAAACTGTAAAGGAGTCTTCCCTCCTCTAAGAGAATGAGGTTGTTCATTCCGCAAAGGAGACATGGTTTTGTCAATATTAAGAGTGTTTACAGATTTGACAGGTGATCCAACAGCTCTTGCTTTAACTGGGGAACCACACTGGCAGAGTTCTAGGGCTTGCTTTTGCCCGGAAAGGAGAGTGATTCTTGGTCACAGGGCTTTTAGCAAACAGGGCTGCTCTCACTGATTTACGGGTGGGAGTTTGCGCATGTTTCTGTCTGGTGTTTTGACTTGGGGAGTCCAAACCTAATGTTACCACACCAATTACAGGACTCTTTTCTGGAGTTGTCTGGGGCAACTCTGGGCCTTTCTTGACGCCTGAATCTGGAACCAAAATGCGTGGTGACTGTTGTCTACTTGGTTTTTGCCTTGTGTGGGACACTGGGGAAGCTAGAATAGATCTTCTTCCAAATAATCCTCTTCCTGGAGACTCACACTTAGACCTTGTGTTATGAGATGGTGAGTCCATTATTTTGCTTGGTGTCTTTGTAAATTTCCTTGGAGTGGTCTTTGCTGGTGATGGACTAGCACCAAGTTGAGTCAGGAGAAATGAGCTGTTCTTGTCAGGGGATTTAAACTGTTCTGGTGTATCAAAACTGATTAGTTTGGAAAGTTTCTTACGCTCTGGTGATGGAGGATGCGGCCGACCAGCAATTCTGTTGGCTAGTTGGAAGTACTGGGAGAGATTTTTAGTTCGCTTAGTGGGTCCAGCTGAGTAGAAGGAACGTCTAAGTAAAGCCTTTGCTCTCTTGCCTTTTGTTGGTGAATTGTTGTAGGATATATCTGCAAACATTATAAAGTACTTATAATAAATGTGTTAATAAATATCCTCAATTATTAGTTACTAATAAAAAACAGCCAAACTTTGCCATAGACCACATTATGAACATATAGTATTCTATTTTTCAATTTAACCACAAAATAACTTGTCTTGAGAAACTACCTTTCAATAAAGATTTCTTTTTTTCCTTTTCCAAATACTGGTCTTAACAGGTGGGTTTGACTAACTTATTTTGTAACAAGTAAAAGTTAATATAGAGTTTGGATCTTGAACAGTGATCTACAGGCTACAACCAAAAAACATAAGTTTTGACAAAATACCTTTGTGGTTCAGGACATTGAACTTGCCCACATAATCTTAAATTTCTTTCAAGGTCACTAAAACAAAATTTACCATACAATTCCAGGCTAGAGCTATGGATCTAAATCAGAGACTGGCACTTCCTAAACAAAAAAGAAAACAATTTTTAACATTGCACATACCACAGGATTTTTCAGGTGATTCTTTAATGACATCCATTTGCAGTTCTTGCAGTTGTAAAGACTTATTCAACATGCTAGAAACCTGTTTATGACAGGGTGTCTCTGCAACCAGTCTTCCCCTTCTACCTGATGGAGTTACAGCAGCTGCAAATACAAATATTGTAGATTCTTTATAAAGAGCATCATTCAAATTAACATGCCTAGATTCTCAGAATTTTCTATGAACTTTTTTTTTAAAAATCTGAAGAGTGAAAATGTTATTAATATCTTTTTGTAATTCATTTTTACATCTAGGTAATATACTAATGTGGAGGTGTGTCGTTTTATATCAATTTTAAAATGGGCCTTTATATAAACTGATGAAACAAAGCCATTAAAGCATAGAAGAGTTTAAATGCTAGATAATAAATGGCATGTGTTGTAAAGCTTTAAATATGTTATGAATTTGAAACATTTAAAGGAACTAAAAATTTTGACTTGATTGGACTAGAAATAATTTTTTCAAAGATATGTCTCCCATTTGATGACACTCTGGAATATTCAGAATATTGCCCTGTCAGTCAGTATATTTGTATCGTTATTTACTCAGTTTAAACATTTTGATACTGCACATCTCTGTCATGTTCCAAATTCCTTAGCAAGACAGGTCCATTTGAAAAACTAGGTAGGAAAATGGTTAAATACACATATAACTTATAATTACTCACTCTTTGATGGAGTGGTATTCTTTTTAGGTGTTTTGTGAGTGCGCTCCATCACAGCCACTGATTGACGTCTCTGAAGTTTTACCCCACTTCTCTTCTTATCATATGGTGATTTAGGTGCTAAAATGTTAAAGAATAAAGTTTAATATAGATATTTTTAAGTTACATGATAACAAAAATGTATAAAGAGGATTTGTTGTTTTTAGGAGTTAGCCCAAGTTTGTAATAGGCTTTTTTATCTTTTTATCACAGAACAGATTATGAGATACATAACCAAAGTCCAATGAGTCTGTACCACTACTAACTTGCATTTCTACACACAACTTCTCCTCATAAATTACTTAAATTGGTTACTTCAATAACAAAAAGACCACTTAAACTTCTAAATCTGAGGTACTTAGCAGAAAATTTCCACCCTGTGGAGAAAACAAGGCAAGGGTCTAGGGAATGAATATCAATATCTCCCTCTGTCATAGTGACAATACTCACTTTTATCTCCTGCTTTTCTCTTAGAAGAACTTTTTATTTTCTTCTTGGCACTTTTCTCAGTCTGTGCATATAAAACATGAACAACTTATAAAACATAGATCTTAGGTACACTGTTATTTTTACTTTCACAATTGTATTACAAATTCTTTATCAAATGTTACATAACAGTGAAATATTATAACTCTCTTTATCGGCATATTGTAAGACCTCAAGAAAGATTAAAAAGACTTTTAGCACTTGTATAATTAATGAATTTTACTAAATAAAACATATGCTGAAATATGTCTTTGTCTTTATTGTACAAGAAAGACTTTAATTAGCATTTGGAAGCTTTCTATCTAACTAAAGTATTTGTGTACTAGTATATAGTGAATAAAATATGTTAAAATCAATGTATATGTACAATCTTTATAAAGCCATTTAATGTTGTGATAAAAAAATCCTTCTATTTTCACTCAAACCAAGCCTAAGAAAATCTTCACCTGATGGCACTCTGCTAGGATAAAGTTGTTTATGAACCCAGGAAATTCATAGTAATTCAAAACTACCAGTCACAGAGGGTAGCTGATTGTATTAAATTTTTTAACCAACTTTTATCATAATAAACCATGTGACACATGTCTAAATGATTTTTTTGCACTTTTAACAAGAAAATATATATAAATCATCACCAATTTGTGACTCCATGACTTGAATAAAGTATGTACGAACAACTCTTAATATAATACTGTGAAAGCAAAATGACATAATGTAAATATTTTATAAGAGTATGAAAAAGCAGGTAAACAGTATGTAGTAGGCATATTATTAATATTCTTATCTCATAATGGCATGAAGAAGTAGGAATATGGTCAATATATATTACAAACCTTCTGCTTTGGAAGTTTATCTACAACAATTTGCCTCTTTGATCCAAAATCTACCATACTATAATGATGTACCAGTTTTCTACTGCCTCTGTTAATATACAAGGTGAAAATGAGCTGACAGTGAAAACACAAAACCAGATAAATTGTGATCAAAATATAGAACAATACACAAAGGTCTCCCAATGGAGAATTTTACTAAAACAACCTAAATCCTTAGAATGATCAAGCCTACAAATATTATGATATTACACAATTGCATATAATATTATCACTGATAGATAATGTCCTTCAGATAAATTGCATATGTTAACCATTTTTTTTTTTAAAACAAAAAAACAAAAACAAAACATGTCCTTTCATCTGTATCTGGAAAAAATAATTTATACTCAGAATATATTATCTTGAAATGCATTTCAACTAAGCAACAGTAATATATAGAATGTACCAGACCGTCATAAAGATGGTGAATTACCTTGATGTATTAAGTGAGGTATCCAGCTTTACTGACTGATTAGACTGTGGCCCTACTGACCCATGTGACCGTGTTCTTGCAGACGGTGGACCCAGTCCATCTTCACTCATGAGAGACTCATCATTCAGTCCAGACTGGTCCATGCTGGCATCCTCTGGTGAGAGAATATTGGCAAGACTCTCTGGTAGTGGCTGCATGAGTTCATCATAGATATTTCCCAATGTCCGAGGTATTGTATGCATGTAGCTGATAATATATGAAAATATATCTATTATATGTATCTATACTCTTACCAAGCTGAATATCATAAATGGAATTTTTATCCATTACAACTCTGGACATAACCATTCATGAACTTTTATGACCGGGGAACAATACAAACCATGATCAGACAATAATGATGTGCTGGCTGATCTTTCTTTCCACTGGTTGCATGGGTAGAGCCAGTTGCCGCCAGCAGGTTATATAGATTAAAGCTATGTGCTATAAAGTTACCTGTGAGAAACTTTAAGAATGTATAAATATTCCCAATCCATATAAATTGTTGCACATAATATTCACAAGGCAGTCTGAAGGACAGCTAAATCCCATTCCACAGCAGACTTGAATGTGTACTTTGTCTTTAACCAACAATGATTTTTGCCGTTGTGCCATGCTTTACATGAGCACAAAGTCTCATGATGGTGATTATTTGATCAAAGTTATTTAAAATCTTCCATAAAGTCAAAAAGTTATGAAGAACATTTAACCTTGACCTTGGGGGTAGCAACCTTGAGTGTTGAGTTCTGCACATTGTGTCATGGTGGTAATCATTTGTGCACAGTAATTAAATTTTTTTCGGTAACCAAATTAGTAAGTCATAGAGCAGACATAAAATGTGGACATTTGACAAAATGTAGACTAGTTCTCTTTTGTTCTGTTTACAGTTAGATAGCCCCCTATTCCTATTCAGTAGTGGAGACGGACAGACAGATGGGTGGAGGACTGACAGACGGAAGCCATTCCTATAATCCCCTCGGGGATTAAAAATATGACTTATTCTACTACTTTATCACAATATTTGTACCTTACACCTATTGCTTTTAATGGCTATTTTTACATATTTTTTACCCTATTTATGTATTTTTGATGATAGCAAGTATCTTAGAATACAATAAGTCACTTTGTTTAATTATAAAAAAGATCTCTACAAAACCTTTATTAAACTTACTATAACATGTTAGAAACCTTCACTCCAATTTATATCAATATTTTCCTTGCCTTTACATCAATTCATAAATATTCAACATCTCCTCAATACTTTGATGTTTGGTACATTTGTATAAGAATTAGTGCATTTGATAAGAGTATAAGTTTCTTACTTGTGAAGGAGGGAAGATTGCATAAACTTAGACAGTAGCCCTGGTTCTGATATAAATGACAATGTCCTCAACATGCTGACAATCTGAAACACAAGTCAGAAACTATCATTATCATAATCATTATCATACATATTGTAATAGAGCAAATTAGCACAAAAAAAAACGCAACAAAAACATATTACACACACAGGATACAATCTCAAGAATCTTAGTTCAGCAGCTGAGCAAAAGCAAGTGGAACATTATGAAAGTCATACATGTAAGTAGTGGAACAGGTATGTTAATATTATAGCTAGCTAACTCTTGACAGTAATTTTTCAATAAATAATATTTCAACTTCACTTACCTCATCCACATCTTCAGATTCCTCACTCTTCTCTTTTTCCTCTAGTGTAGATATCATCTCCATTCTTACAAGAATCTGTGTCTCATACCTGTAATAAGAATTTTTTTCCCAATCAAATAATGATATATTTATTTAAAGGTCCAAGTTTTAAGCATCTAACTTGCTACAAGGCAATTATTTAAACATTATAAAACTCATGTTTATCCTTTTTAAAGACGGGAAAAAATATTTATGTCTAGGGAATAATGTGCCTTTAATACAAATATTATTATTTTTTATCTCTTTTTTTTTCTTATTGGGCTTTAAGTAATTCTGACACTGTAAAGGTCATGTGGGGACTTTTGCAGCTTTACCAGAACAGTACACAGATGCATTATTTAAGGCATGAGCAGGCACTGGAAGGAAACATTACATATAGATACCAAAGGTTAGACCTTTGTAAATAAGAATGCTGTACTGAACAATCAATGACTCCAATACTTTGAATATTAAAGATGAATAATAGTCAAGTCAATACTAGAGGACATGACAGATGTTGCACTATTCATTATCTTTCAAGACTTCATCAAGCAGTCTACAATATACACTTATATATTTATGTATTCACTGCTCTTGACAAATTTCACCATTTGCAGACTTCTTAATTTTTTTTATTATTAAATAAATAAATAAATTTAATGGCTAATTATGATAAAAACTAACAAAAATGACTCACTCTGCAATTTTTTGTTCTAATGGTAGCTGCTCCTGTTGACTGTACTTCTCTCTCAACTGGTTACCTGTTGCCAGTAATGTATCCATCAGAAGCTTCTTACAGTCCTCCTGAAACAAGAATATGTGTGTATCTATGATATATTTTTAACACATGACAGAAAATTGTCAAAGAACAAGGTTTTTCACTTTTATTACAGATGTGAAAAAACCCAATATGAAACAGCCACAAATCTGCCAGAAATGATCAAATCATAAAATCATGACAAGGGCATTTGATGAAAATAATTCTGTGAAAGTTTGGTTGAATTCTTTGAGAAAAGAAAGAGTTGGGCAAGGAGACATTGTCTTATCCAGCAACACCTTCCCTGTCAACAATCACTAATCTAACAAGAAACATGGCAATGCCATGAAACCAGGTTTTCAATTATCACCATTGTAGATAAATATGTTGTAGTTGAAATACAAATACAAGCAACAAACAATGTAACTATGTGCAATGTAAATCATGATTAATGAATTTTCTATTCTTAGTAACTGTAACCTTGACCCTAGGAGGCCAAAAAGCCATCCCAAGTGAGGTCTTCATAAAAACTTGCTTTACCACAAATTTCATAAAAATATCTTATTCCAAACAAGTTATTGACCGGAAACCTATTTTCTATTTTTTAGTAACAATGACCTGACTGGAAACAGATTTTCTATTTTTAGCAACAATGACCTTGACCTTGACTCTACAGGACCCAAAAGCAGGTAGATGAGCTGGCAGGCATGCAACAACCTAGATAGTTTCTGTTTTATAACTAAATAAAGTTTGTTGTGATTAATAGGATATATTACACTAATAATTAAATTTTATGGAAAAACAAAGGGCCATAATAAGGTAAAAGGTAAAAACTTATCCAATCATAAAACCCTGACAATACACAGCAGGGCACTTGAAGATAAAGCTAATCTGTGAAAATTTGAACAAAATCCTTTGAGAAATGTAGAAGCAGTTGGGCAACAGAAGAAATTGTTCACTATATACTCTATATAAGGGAAAAAAACAAAGGGCCATAATTAGGTCAAAAATTATCCAATCACAAAAACCCAACAATATGCATCAGGACACTTGATGACAAAGCTTCTGTGAAAGTTTGAACAAAATCCTTTGAGATATGTAGGAGGAGTTGCCCACAGAAGAAATTGTTCACTATATATTCTGTATAAGGAAAAAAAACAAAGGGCCATAATTAGGTCAAAAATTATCCAAACACAAAACCCCAACAGTTGCATCAGGACACTTGATGACAAAGCTTCTGTAAAAGTTTGAACAAAATCCTTTGAGAAATTTAGGAGAAGTTGCGCACAGAAGAAATTGTTCACTATATATTCTATGTAAGGGAAAAAAACAAAGGGCCATCATTAGGTCAAATGTTATCCAATCACAAAACCCTGACAATATGCACCAGGGCACTTGATGACAAAGCTTCTGTGAAAGTTTGGTCAAAATCCGTTGAGAAATGTAGGAGGAGTTGCGCACAGAAGAAATTGTTTACGCCCGCCCGCCCATCCGCCCGCCCGCCGACATACCTCAATCTAATAACCAGATTTTTCCTTCGGAAAACCTGGTTAATAACCAGTCTTCTGTTGGAAAATCTAGTAAAAAATAAAATGCATGTATCGAAAACCAAATTAAAACTATCTGTTTATATTTTATTATAAATTTCCTTTCATCCCTTACAGCTTTAACATGAGACAGGATAAACTACAGCTCTGCAAAGATGCATCAAATCTTGCCTGTTTTACATGTCAACAATAGGGGCAAAATAAGGAAAATGGTCAAGTATAGTTCTTTAACTTTTACTTCTCCTCAATGAGATCTAGAGAAATCTGTCACACAGAATTTTTATAAGACACAATGGGCAATGAAGTCAATAGTTGTCATTCTTCTGCACTGCACTTCTTATGAAAGAGGTCTACAGGTGACTATACAGTGATCATAATAGCATAAAAAATATTACTACAATAAGTCTACTTATGCATATGTTCTTAATAAGATGACTAACTTTGTGAATGTTCAAAATCATCTTTCAAGCTTTTCTAGATATTAATATTTATGTGGAGGTAATAAACAGGCATAACCTTAGAAATACTGACCACTGAGTTATGTCCCTTAAGCAAGTATGCTAAGAAAGAGTACAAAATATTAAAAAGTTTTTAAAAAAATCTATAAACAACAACTTAAACAAAAGTTAAAAAGATACATAACTTTGAAAATTTTGTCAAACAACTGTGCCTTGTAATGATTATAAAGAATTACAAAGTTCCTGTTGATACCATATAAAATGTTTGAGAAATGGAAAACATTTAAGCTTTTCCACAGCAAATTTAAGTACAGTGATAATGATCCAATAATCATAAAAGCTCAACTTGTTTAAGGAAACAGACAAGCTAAAAACTGAAAAATATAGACCTGTGCTCTACCACTGATGATTATCATTTTACCTTTGCACATGTTTTGTCTTCTTTTAGCATGAAATAATGAAGTGCCACTGTGACCATAGATTGTATACAGCTATCTATATCAGTTACTTCCCCTGATGCTGCTCTCTCATAAGTGGAGGTAAGATAATTCTTGAGTTCCTCTTCAGTTTGAAAATCTAAACAGTAAATATTATATATCATAGTGTTCTAATTATATAATTCCAAACTATATTTTATGGCAAATTTTTGTACTTGTATAGTGTATATAATGTTGTATCTTCTATTTATTAAGCAGAGCTCTAGAATGCATTTGTATCAGCATAAAATATGCAGTGTAAAATCCAAAATACACATCAGTTTCAGAATTCGTGCGTCACAGTACGCAAAACAAAATGAAAACATGCTTGTACAGTTAAACTTCGTTCGCTCGAACTCGGATCGTTCGAATACCTCCCTTCGCTCGAACTCATCGCCCAGTCCCGGCAAAATTCCTATATAATATATATTGTTCTACCTCGGATCGCTCGAACACCGATCGCTCGAACTCTCGAACCTGATCTCTGGTCCCTTCGGCAGAAATATAGTGAAAATCACACCTTTTCGGTCGAACACAAAAAGACAAGTCGGTATGTCCGAAATAAATGACAGTCGGCGACACATGTTTTTAACACCTCGTGATCGTGACAAAGGTGATACAAAATAAGAGGTGTTGTAACAGATGATATGATGATGTTATGATAATATTGTTGATTTGCCGTTTATGGTAACGATAAAAAGAAAACAACTTGTGAAATAAGTGAAATATGCATGCCAATAAAGAATGACGTTTACCCGGACGGCTTTAATTACAACCGTGGTTCATGTAAAGTGAATCGTAACAGTGTTATCTATTTATAGAATGATACTTGTATGTGTGTTTATTTTAGTAAATGACTATAAATAGATGCTGCTGTAAATGTTTTTAATAAATATTTCATTCCTTTATTTTTTTTTTGATTGAATTCATCCCATTATAAACATATAAATATATTTTGAACATTGTTCAACAAGTTTGGTGTGATTGCCCAATCGAACTCAACAATTACTATATGCATGCATATAGATTAACACAGCGTACCGTTGATACTATAATAATTCTGAATATGAAACATGTGAAATATTCGACGAACAGATGTACTAACAAACAATTATATTGACGTATTTATCATCCGACCGATGTAAGCTAGGAAAACCTTTAGGCCTATGATCAACGTAATTATAGTTCAACCTCGGTTGGCTCGAACTACCGATCTCTCGAACAAATTTTCACAGGCCCTCCGAGTTCGAGCGAACGAAGTTCGACTGTATATCAAAACACATCATGCATGAGGAATAGTAGTGTTAAAGTTTGATATCTAAAAAGGAGATGTTTTGCTTTCCTAAAAATACAAAATAATTCTGCTTTATGGTATGGGAAACTAGAAATATTCTGAATTAAAGTGTTTACAAGCATTCTGACTTTAAAAAGATACTTTGAAATATTTAGAAGCAAGATGTAGCCAAACTATCCTTGTTTCTACATGGATATGATTTCCTGACTTCATATTTCAGTGGAACCTTTTATAATAAAATTAGGGATGGCAACGAGTAACCGGTTAACCGAGTACTCGATCGAACGTCCGAATATCGGTTAACAAAATTGATATTCGATTACTCGGAAAAAATGTATAATTTCTATTTTATTTGCTATTTAGACAGTTTGGTGTATCCAATTAGTTCAAAAATTCGGAGATGTGCATATACCTTCATAAATACCTGTTAAATGCAATCACAACTTCCTTGTAGAGGTGCGAAAATGATACCATAAATTTAATGAGGCGATCAACAGTTTGACACGCGCACATGTGTCGCTTACGTCATCCGGCCTCTTATGATATTTAGTAACCTTTAATTGTGTAACACAATGCAGTTTGTACCCGAATCTTGTTTTAAGGTAACATTTTTGAAAACAACAAAGGGCCGTATTGCTATTATGATATAATAATTAAGGTAGTATTTAGTCCCGGTTAAACTTTTGTTGCCGCCGATCAGTCTATTTTATTACAAGAAGAAAAAGATGTTTCAACTGCTAAACATGTTTTAAACTTGATATTGCATTAATTAAAATGTTCTAAAGTATAATGTCGTTGATTTAATTTTAATTAATTTGTCTCCTTTGCAGTCCTATCTATAGTTACGAATTCTATGAATGTAAATAGAAAACGAAAGTAGCATACGGACGGTGTTGATATTGTGTGATAAACTTTGAAGATCATTGGAAATCGTCCGAGTAACCGAGTACTCGATCGGAAAAATGACCGAGTACTCGAGTATTAATTTTGGTATTCGTTGCCATCCCTAAATAAAATGAAACAATTTTTTTTTTAGTTTTTAGTTTAGACATAGACATAAAATGATATTATTATACTGTAAATGGTCTGTCTTTTTTTCTCTCTACCTGCTAAATGAGCTGCCACGTCTGGTTTATCCCTCTCTAGTTTACTACCAGCGCTGTCGACAGTTTTCTTCTGTTTATTATCTTGTACCATCTCCTTACTTTTGAACAGTATCTTATCTGTCCTACTTAATGATACATGTGAGGTCTTTCCTTTATGTGATACCACAGCTTTATCTACAGCATCCATCTTTGTTTCTAAAACAAATATGATATATAAATATTAGGAATGGGTTATTGTAGCGTAAACAAGAAGATTCTATTCTGTTTCACATTTAAAGCAACTACAGTTGACTCTCGATAACTCGAAATCCAAGGGACTGGGCATTTTACTTCGAGAGAAACGGAATTCGAGTTTATGGATCTGCCGCCATTACCTTGACATTCGTACAAGTATATACATGTGCCTGATTGAATATGCAAAGAAGTAGGTTTGTTATTGTTGATAGCGGTAATGCTGCAATATTTAACCGTTGAAATGATGGTAAATCACTAACAACTACAAATTATAAATGAACAAAAATATATTATTCAATAACACATTTATTTCAACAACAATTTATCTAATATTTGAAGAGAATTGATCATCGGTCATCGGACGAAAACGAAAGTAGCAACTATCGTGAATCGGAGGTACATATTAATGTATGCAATATGACGGAACATTAATTATACAAATGTCATTTACGTTGATAACACACATCAATACCTAGGCTGTTATTTGACTAACACCTGTCAGACTGGCACGAGTCAACTTTCTTTAATAGTGCTTAATTACAATTAAACTAATTAAATCTTAATTTAGTTATCTAACTGTTAAAACCAATTAAGTCCTGGAACCAATTAAAGCCACTTTTACGACGTGTTTATAATACATGATGACCGGCAATTAAAATTACTATGAAACGTGTGAATCACCAGTGACAACATCTCACATTAATGTCGCCGACCTTTTATCAGTTGGCTGTTTTCACACTTCGACTAATTAAGATATAAATATGTTGAACTTTAATTGACAGGACCAAATTTTCTTTTCGACTAAACAGGAGTCTTGGTAAGTCAAAATTTGACCTAAGCGGAGTTAAAATACAAAGATAAAGAAGGATATTTGACGAGACTTTTGAAATTCTTCGACTAACGCGGAATTTTGAGTAAAGCGATTTTGACTTATTGAGAGTCAACTGTACCTCCAAATTAATGCTAATTTTCATTAAAACTTAATGTTTTTCTGTTTTGTCGTTTAAAGGTGGAAAATAAGATCATGAATAGAAGGTGATTCAAACATGGTTACTTATCAAACTTTAAACATCATTTACACATTTGTTTATGAATTTCTACTCAGATTTAAGCACACAGACCTGTCATTTATTTTACATACGCTATCAACTTGTTTATTACAAACTGTGCTTCAAGTTTTCTCTAAAGTGTCACAGCATTTTGTGTGACCTAATGAAAGAATCAGGTGTAGGTAGGGAAAAAAAATCACCATACAGTAACCTTCAGCATCATTGTTTTACATTAAGTGAATGTAGGTGATGATACATACACAATAACTACATGGACTACAAAATGTAATAAATGCAATTCATTGTTTCATTTCTCAGGGTTCAACATTTTTCAGATTTGTTCATATACAAAATAGAATGAATCTTGCCCAGTTTATAAGTTTTCCAGGTTTTGTGGTGGTTGTTTTATATTTAAAAGTTCTACTGTATCACTAATCTATATAATATAACAACAATACCCACCTGTATTACATGTTAAAGAGGAATCTCTCAAGCCTGGAGGTTGCTTTGCTTTCCTGTAACTTTTACTCAACTGTTTCAAAGTTGCCACTTCATCTGATGACAAGAAATCCAATTCTGATATCCTAAAATGTCAAACATTAAACAATCTATTATAGTGGTTCTGTATTTACAACTCTTATAGTGCTACAAACAATAAGAACATGCCTATGGCATAAGTACATAGCCAGGCCATACTACACATCACTTCTCCAAATCCCTCCAGAGGCGTGCACGTCGCGGAGAAGGCACACGGCAGGTCAAGGTCAAATCATCTTAAGTACCAGAGGTGATTGGTTGACCTGTCGTGACTAACACTGGAGGGTGGCGCTAACAAGAGCCGTTTTATGTCAACCGCCTGTTTGCAGCCGTCACGGAACTTGATGCTTTTCCGGTATTGTCTTTCCTCCACCGAACGAAAAACAGGACTTAGGAAGATCGGCATGAAAAAGACGTCCCCGATGAGACTTCTAGAGTGGACCGGCATGGACGCTGAGATCTCGGACATATGGAATTTCCGGCGCCGAGCTAAAATAAACTTAAAAACACACACACTACACATCAGACAGTGCAGTATGATTAGGCCCAAACTGGTTAGCAGCTCATTTTCATTATTTCAGTATTGAAATCCCTAATCCTTGCAATGGCTTGTTCTAAATTCAAATCATGACAAGTCCATTACAGTAATACAGCAGGGTCAAAGGTTAAACTTTTCATGACCACAAATTACCACAGAGGATTTATTTTTCCAATGGATGTAAGCCATCATCTTATTAAACCAATAAAGTAGTCATTTGTTCTCACTTATTTGAAGATTCTACAATCCATGGTAAAGAAGAACCCATATTTAACCTTTGACCCCTAAGTATGATCTTGACCAGTCCAGTTATAAAGAGGTTTATATAATTTGTGTTGTTATTTGTGAGACCCTCAATGTATTGCAAAGTTGCAGACCAAACAGTTGAACATATCATGTGCTAGATATCACAAACACATAAATCAAACTGCAATTTTAACATCTTAGTCATGTCAGCTGTAAGCAATTTAAATAATTTCAGGTGATACAAATGTATCACTGCCTATCCAGTGCCTAAATTCTGCACAAGTACTAACCTGTTTTTCACCCAGTTACTGTCTATTCCTAAACAATTTATTCCTAAACAATTAATCATAAACCAGCAGTGAAGAATGTGATGTAGAATAAGACATATTATCTTCAAATAATAATCAAGTAAAAATATGCAACTAGAATCTACATGGTAAACCTTAAGTCTGTAGACATTACTTAAATGAGCTAACTTACCAAGCTATCTTTTAATTCAACATGATATTCAATATTTCTATGTTTCTTACCTTTCATTTAATTTAGAAATGAGGTTCTGTACAGATTTAGAACATCCTGGCACCACATGACGATCTAGCTGTAATCCATCTAAATGTTTCCCTACAACACACTCTCCAACATCTGTAAATTTATTATAGAATTACTGGGTTTTAAAGATCGTAGCATAAAGTATCCAATAATAAACACAATTCTTGCATAGTGTCAAGATTTACTTAGAAACGTGTCAAATAGGTTTAAAATAAATTAAAAAAACAATTTCCCATAATCCCTTATTGCAATTATGAAAGGAGCCTTTCATTATTTTTTGAGGGGGTTGTGATTATGATATCCTATCCCGTTCAGGATTTCATAAAGAATATTTATCCTTTTGTTCACTTTAGAAAGAGTAGATTTTGATAAAATAATTGACTTTGACACAACATACCATTCCCTCTGGGCACATGAACAGAGCCCACCAGTTTATCAACCATTTCATCAACAAATTTCTGTTTGTCTTCATCTGTACTTGAGACGGTCTGTTTACAGGTGGCCTGTAACAGCAGTTGTTTTTCTACACATAGAGTGGTGTCTACAGACAGTACCGACAAAGTGGCTGTATGAGAGGTCAGTGGTTCCATTAGAATCAGTTGTCCAGTCTTGTTACATACCAACACCTGCATAGTAAATAAAGCTTAAAGATCCTGTATGTTGTGAACAAAGTGGTTAACCACACTTAGTGAAATTATATATATGTACATAATTATGCAAATAAAACAATTTTCAAACATTGAAGAATATGTAAATATTTGTGCATATTATATGTAATCATTAAAATTTTGTTGTTACTATGATTTGTTGTATTAATGTAACAATACTTGGTATGACTATGACATAACTATGGAATGTATTTGATATGATGGGGTGTCATATATATTGTAATTTTTTAGAGCTGTCATCGATATCGACAATATCGATGTATCGTTGATATTTTTTTGTCGATCAATAATCGATACACATTTTAAAAAATCGATACTTTTGACTTATAAATTAAATGTCTAGAAATTATACAATTCTCCAAAAATATATGCAGAAACAATTATTTATATCAAATGTGATGCTTTTGTTATATAGTGGAATTATTTCATAGCAATGGTGACAAAAAATATTGTCTAGAAAAAAACATGCAGTGGACAAGACACTGTACACAACATGTTTTTGACTGAAATCATTGAAACGGGTATGAAAGTGAATGACAGACAAGTGAGTATAGGATATTATCGATATATCGGTGTATCGTTGATTTTAGTTACTTGATATCGATATATATTGATATGCTTTGCACTGAATCAATGACAGCTCTATAATTTTTTCATTTGAATGATTGCATTTTATAAGATAATGATTTGCTATATTAATGAAACATGACTTAATATAAAGTTTAAATGATGTTATTTGATATAATGTTTCATCATGTTATCTGATATGATGAAATAAGATATAATATAATTATCATATACCACACAAAATCAGTATATCTTTACACATACCAGTATGCAATTTCTAGAGACAAGCTCTTGGACAACTTTTCCCAGCATTCCCTCCACATATCCTGCTGTTGTTTTTTCAGTGTCTGCTTTAACCTTCTCTGAACACAGGTAACTTGCTACAACAGGAAAACTACAACCTAATAAGCTCTTCTTTAATACAGCATAGCCCTGTAGTACATCTGACTGGAGGTAACAACTATCATGTTCATTTCCTGGTGGACTTGTTTTCTTCTGTGATCTAAACAAGTTAACAAATTACATGTACTTTTCATAATAACTTTTTTTTACCGTTTTGATATGGATCTTCAAGTCTCATTATATGCTTTTGGTTGATATCAGAATAGTAGTAAACAAGAATATCTTTAACTGTTTGAAGTTTCAATAAGATGGTATTGACAGTTTAGAAGTTATACCCCAGATAAGCATTTTTCATAAACTTTTACATTTCGGCAGATAATTTGAAAATTAAGCATGGTAAAAATGTGGCTTTTGTACATTGCACTTCCTTATTGCTATCACAGTATGAAGTTTAAATTTTTCAGTATTTTTATAGTTATTTTTTTATAACTTATTCTCCGGATTTTATTAATTATTAAATATTGAGACGGGAAATTATTCAAAACTAAGTAATGTAGAGTTATGATTCTTTGGCACAAAATAACAAGAATAAAGATCAGCAAGGCATAATTTTTATTCAATAATTTTCAAGTTATTCTCTGGACAAGAGTGTGACAGACAGACATATATAAATGTTTATATAGTGGAAATTTCTGTCCATAAATGGCCAATGCCATGTCTGTACTTCTACAGTTATATCTGCCCTATTGTGACAATTTATGTCCCATGTTGGCAATAAATATCATATTGCCATTTACGTGCTATAGTGTTAATCTAAGTGCTTTAGTGGCAATTTCAGCTCTACATTATCCATTTCTAGTGTTCACAGACAATGTTTGTATTTTACTGGCAATGTCAATTTGCCAACTATATACGCAATTTCTTAACGCCTGCCTGATATCAATCATATATATATATTTTTAATTATAGTGGCAAACTTTGTTCTTTGTTGTCAATTTCTGTCTTAGTGGCAATTCTTGTTCTATATCGCAATTTTCTATCTTATACTGTCAATTTTAGTCCTGAATTGTCAAATTCTGTATTATATATTCAATTTTTGTCAGATATTGTCATTTTTGCCAATTTCCTGTCAATTTCTGACCTATAAATATTAATGTTTGTGCTAAATTGTCATTCTTGTCCTATAATATAAATTTCTGTCTTCTGTCCCTATACTGTCTTTTAATCCTTATTACTATTTTGTCAATTTCTATCCTTTAAATGTCAATTTCTAATTATATTGTCAATATATGTCCTACATACTAAATTATAAAGCACAAATTCTGTTTTATAATTTCAACCTATGATTTATATAATATTGCCAGTATCTGTCCTACATAATGTCACTAATCATAAAAGCGCAACACTTACATATTTGCATGGCTAACAATAATTTGTCTTGTAGCTAAAACTTCCAACGTCTTATTTCCTGGAAAACAATAAAGAGAAATAAAATTAGATATAAATAACTCCAATATTTACAAGGGTCAATAATTACATGTAGTTATGACATTTGGAGTAGCACACAAAAACTACCAGTAGGACAGTATGCTCTACTTGTTAAACAAAATCCTCAATAATTTTGAATTTCAAAGTAATTCCTAAATAAAATTGTTTTATCTAATATTATTGTTAATTTTTAAATTTGTTTTTAATCTTTACTTTAGGACTGACAGGTATTTAAATTTGTCAATTTTCAATTAAGGGCATTTCAAAATTGTGATATTTTGTGCTTATAAAGTAAAGTGTTTTTTAATGTTATAATTATTATAATTCTGTTTAAACTATATACAGTATTGTTTTAAAATGAAATTGTTTTTCATGTTAACAAATGGACAGAATTAGCAGCATATTTTACCAGTTTATCTTGCACCAATCCCTACCTATGTCCCTGCTCTACCAATGTTTAAATCATTTAATTATGAAGCCCTTTTCATACTTAAATATTTAAAACTCTCATTCATTCATTTCTGAAAGTGATTTTCCCATGAATTGCCCTTGACTGTCAAATAACCATATCAAGACACTTTACATTTTAAGTAACACCTACCTATTTGTATAGCAATACATTTTTCATCCTGTTGTCTCTGAACTTTTTCCAACAGTTTGTTGTCACTTGGAAAAGCAAATGATTTGGCTACTGTTGCTAATGGCAACAGCTGAAAGGACTGACCAGAGCATTTATCCCCAACATTATCCTGTCCCTCCTCTTCGAGTAGACACTGAATGTTTGTGAAATATGGGCAACCATAATCAGCAACAGCCTGCAAGGATGCTACACCTCCTCCTGTCTTTTCCACAGACTTTTGAACAATCTTAAGTGCCTGAAGATCTATATTATCCTGAAAATAAAAGGAAACTTTATAACTATGATAAAGACATTCATGAACCTTATGACAGTTACAGGTGACTAGTAGTATTCTCTACCAAAATGATTAACTGAGCAGATACTCCAAAGGTAGCCACTTTTATGGAACACTGTTTGATTCTATTAAATGTTGTGGTATTTAAAATATATTTCTGCTTCAAATTTTGTATGATTTTTGTAAAAAAAAATCAAAAGAAAGTTTATTGTTTTGAAATATAAAGGAAAATATTTCATTTTAAAACCTACATGTAGGTGACTCCGTTTCAATAGGTGTTACCATATTTTGTTGGTTATTTGTTTAGTTATCTTAAAAACAAAATATTGCTGGATTAAATCAGATGCAACCAGTATAATACCAGTGGATTTTTTTTCTTCATCTTTTGGGAATGAGTCTGGGGCCCTTTGAGTTGTGAAAAATAGTGCCAGATGCCATTATTTATGAACATATTCCCTTGTTATACTTAAATATAGCTCCTTAATGAAAAAGAATGTTCAAATTATCATTTATGTGTTGTAAAATGCCATGATTAAAGATCAGCAACTGGTCAAACAAAAATAAAGTCCATAGTTAAATGCCTCGGTGACTAATGGCTTTAAGTCATTGGGAATTTTGTCACTTACTACCAAAAAGTTTGAAATTGCAAATTTTCATTCAACAATTTATAATGTGTCTTCTTTATAACTTTTTACAATATGTAACAACTGATTTTTTTTATTGGCGGCACAAATGATCACCATCATCACCTACAGAGGTAACAACCAGGTGGCTACCCCCGAAGTCAAGGTTATAACATTAACAGCAGTTTTGTAGCTCTCACCTAAATGAAAACTATTTAAAAAACAAATTTCACAGGATAAGAAAAATGTGCAGTCTGACCGGGACTGGAACCCTCAGAATACCATACCGCGGCTCTACCGACTGAGCTAATGGCCGCTTAGACATCTTCTCCCCTAAATAGTGAACAGTTCTGAACCGTGACATACTCCCCTGCTATATTGAACCTTGTCCTTGAATTTCACAGAGTTACAGAGCAATGTGAACTAAACTCTGAGCTATATTCAGTCACGGTCCCCTGTTGGACGCCAAACGTCTTCTCCCCTATATAGTGAAAAGTTCTGAACCATGACACAAATAATACGTTAGTCACAATCAAAGTATTTCTGGAGCATAATGAGCCTTGAAGACTGCACTTTATTTAAATTGTGGGGGGAGGGGGTCGTTACTTATTCACTGAGCCAGAAGTGCGTCTTATTCTTAAAAAGTAACATGTAAAGATCACAATGTGGTTTTATTACCTGAATTGTGTTGTTAGGATGTGTATCTATCCAATATAAATTCAATTTTGCAATCTGGCAGAACTGTTCAAATAGAGTGTTAGGGAATAGCGAATTCAAAAATATCTCTTCATCTAAGACTCTTTTTCCAGTGAACTCTTTCAGTTGTTGAAAGTTTTTCGGGCAGTTTGTAAATAAGACAACCAAGTGCCTTTTTTCATTGCAATCTTTTCTTAATTGTTTGCCTTTAATGGGTGACCAAAAGTCTTGAGACTCCCATTTAAAATCTGCAAGTATTTCAGTGAAAGCTTTGTTCAAGCTGTCAGCTGGCTTGAATCTTTTCGACGCTATACCTTTCGTTGTATCCACATTTTGAAATTTTCTCAGTAATTTGTTTTCAAATTCTTCAAAATGTCTTACTTTAAAATCATACAATTTGTGAGATTCTATCCGGGTGTGATGAGTTTTAGTATTAAAGAACTTATAACCCCATTTCAATTTCTGATAATTTTGTTTTGATTTTCTGGTCACTCCGTTTTTGTCAAGATAGGAGGACAAATGACTTAACAATCGTATACAAGACAAGCAGATAGACTTTGTTAATACTGTTGATGATCTGACGTTGTTTTTTAAATCTGTATCGACCAGAAAAACTATTTGGACACTCATATTCAGAAATTGTTTACAAAAATCACATTTTTGAAACTCCCGGAAATGGCTAATTTCTTATTCGCACTAATAATACTCGTACTACAGTTAATTCGTACCACTGATGAACAAAGAAGCTTAAATGATTGACAGGATATTTTGTTTTTATTACTATTTCCTTCTTAGACTACACTATATCAATAAAGTGACTTAAAATCCCAGAGTATTAAATATATATTATTTTTGTAATAAAAACTTCTTAAGATTTTTTAATGAATACAGTGTGCACATAGAAATCCAATTAATGGGTATGTGGAGTGTAAAATATTCATGAATACAAAGACTTAGAAAAAAGAGTGCCTTACACGTAACGCACACCACATCAACATCCAAAACCTACACCTGCACACTTAGGAAACTTAAAAAAGATTTTTTTCCCTTACATTTTGCATTTAATTATTACCAGTCAGAAATTATGCTGTCGCTGTAAAAACGAAATCCTATGGTACAAAAATAAAAAAAAGAAGAAATAATTCAAAACGAGATATAATTGACATAGTTCCAGGAAAATAATGTCAAATGACCCAATTTTAAGGACAAACTTAATAATTGCAATACTTATTCCTTTGGATACTGTAAGCTACTAGATTTGATGAATATATAAGGCGTATAATGTCTATTTACATTACCTCTTTTTGCTAAATTATTGAAAAGTCCTTGTTTTATTTCTCAGTATGCAATCACTTTTTATAACAGTGTGCATACAATTATTGTAATAGTTCTGCTAGGTGTGCGTCACATTTGCTCGCTGAACAGCAAAATGTGCCCGTAAAAATGTGCCCTAAAACTCTGGAAACCTAGAGGTCAATATCCATGAGCCACAGTGACGGACTAATAAAAAACAGTGAAAGTGATATAGACGAGTAACGCTATTGTACTGCAAAAATGAAGTTTTTACAAAATATAACTTCCGAAACGAATGTTGCACTCAATTTCCTTCTTTTCCAAATGACCAGTGTACTTTCCATTTGGTCTTTTACTCTCTGGGCGATTCTGCAAGCACTCTGTATTGAAGAAATTGACACTTTTACCATATAACAATTAGAAGCGTCCAAACAAAAGATCTTATAACAGACAACAAGTCTAACATGATGTTAAAATAAATGAAGAAAAAACAGAATCCCTAAAAAACGGCGCCCAAAATTTAAAATGTTGCAGTAGTAGGAATTAACCATTTAAATAAAACACCTGGCATGGGTCTCTGTAACTTCATTTTACTTCTAAAGATGAAAAAATACTTTCTTGAAAGAAAATTTTAACAGCCTAGAAGTTGTCTTGGCTTTGCCATTCATTTATATTTGTCTCCAACATGAACCGAAAGGTATTTCATCTGCATTTTAGGATTGTGTAAAAAAAGTTTGCAATAATGTGTTTCAGTAAAGGCCTCAACAGACGGTAGTGTTAATTTAAAACTTAGATACATGTACAAGCAAAGTTCAACCTATAAAGGCTACTATTTCTTGAAATCCCAGATTTGCAGGAGAGGACATATTCTACTTTATAATTCTTCTTGTACATATTCCCACGATGACAAGTGACTCATTTCCAAATTATTTCTCGACAATGTGAGTAATTGATAAAATTCCAGAACAATCAGTGCTAAAATGTAAACATAATGTACAATGGAGTAAAGAGGATATTAAAAAAAAAAATTGGGGAGGCCCTAAGTTTCGCGCTATTCTTAGGGAGACCCTAAGTTGTGCAAATTATTCAGAAAAAGGATTATAGGCAAAAACGTTTAAAAAATGGGGAAATTTGCATAATTTCTCATAAAAAATTAATTATTCTTCACCGTAAGACCATAATACAGAAAAGGCTTAAGGGTAATAAGTCAATCCATTCATTCCGAATTACATGATTTCTTAATTGCCCCTTCTGCGAACCTTTGTTCTACCTCGCCAACAATTATAATGTATATCAGAAGATAATGTATGCAATGCTCGGGGGTTTCGTATGCTTGATTTTTGTAAGTCCACATCATTGCGAATAGCTAACGGTAGAATTGGTGATACCAGTTCGTTCACATTTTTTAACCAACGATCATGTAGTACAATTGACTATTTGGTTTTGAATGATAAAGATTTTAAGCGGATTAATACATTTCAACTGTTACCGTTTAACGAATACAGTGACCATGCACCACTCTTCTTTGAAATTGATATTAATTCTTTGATAAGTAGTCAAAATATAAATGATTATGAAAATACCTCGGAGTATACATTTTATAAATGGTCAGATGATCACAAGATAAACTTTAGACGTGATATCATTTCAAAGCTTCCCGAGTTTAATGCACTTCTACTTAGTAACGGTACATCGGAGAGCCTTTCTATTGATAATTTAGTTGAGGGTTTTTCCTCGTTGATTGAAGAAGTGGCCGAACCGTACTTTAAACATTCGCGGATATCATGTAATATGCATTCTACATCATGTAATAAAGAGTGGTTTGATCGCGAGTGTGTAGAATCAAAGAAACTGTATATTTTAGCGCTTAATTCATTTAATGGAAATAAATCAATAGATAACAGACAATTACTTTTTGAGCGAAAACGTTCTTATAAACTTTTACTGCGCAAGAAAAAAAGAGTGTTTAAGACTAAAAAGTCGCGCGAATTATGCGAACTTCGTAAATCAAAACCAAAGCAATTTTGGAATCATTTTAAGTCAAAACTTGAAAATTGTTCAAACGATGTAAAACCTGAAGAATTTCGTGAATATTTTTCTAGCTTATTCAATGATATAAGGTCTACACGTATAGAAGATGTAGAAAGTTTTATCTCTGAAACAGACTTTAATATAAATAACCCATCTTTTGAATGCCTGAATACGCCTATTACGTCTAATGAAATACTAATGGCAATTAAAGATCTTAAGCGAAATAAGGCACCATGTCCTGCCGATAATTTATTAAATGAGTTTTTCATTGAGACGTCCGACATACTTATTGGTCATATTACGGACTGTTTTAACACTATATTTGATTCTGGTCATTTCCCAAAAGTATGGTCTTATGGTTATATCGTACCATTATATAAAAAGGGAAATAAGAGGGTACCGAATAATTATAGAGGAATAACATTAGTTAGCAATTTTGGTAAATTATTTACAAAGGTATTAACAAAACGGGTTGAAAATTGGGCGCGTGATAACAATATACAGTCTGATGCACAATTCGGTTTTCGTTCAGGTGTAAGCACCGTTGATGCAATTTTTGTTTTGCACTCTTTAGTGGAACGAATACTATCCCAAAATTCACGTCTTTATTGTTGTTTTATTGACATTAAAAAAGCCTTCGATTCAATCTATCGTAATGCTCTTTGGTATAAACTTTTTAATCTCGGACTTGATGGTAAAATGATCAGGATTTTTAGAGATATGTACTCTTCGGTGTCTTCCTGTGTTAAGCACTGTAATACTTTGTCAGACTTTTTTGATATTTCTATTGGTCTAAGGCAGGGCCAAAATAATTCACCGATTTTGTTTGCTTTATTTCTGGAAGATCTGGAACAATACTTAAGGAATGATGATAATAATAACGATAAGGGTTTCACTTTTTATGATATATGTATGATTATTTTACTGTTTGCCGACGATATGGTCATAATTGGAAAGTCAATTGAAGAATTGCAATCGAGTCTAAATAATTTAAAGCTTTATTGTGATAATTGGGCCTAGAGGTCAACACAGATAAAACTAAAACAATAACAATGGTTTTTAGGAAGAGGGGAAGCATCAGAGAAAATGAAAAATGGTCATACGATAATACTTTATTAGAGACTGTTGATAACTTCAACTATTTGGGTGTAGTCTTTAATTATACGGGGTCTTTTCAACTTCATAATCAGTATGCTATAGGAAAAGCTATGAAAGCCCAACATGTTTTACTTCGTAATATTAACAAATATGATGTGACCCCTTCCGTTTCACTTCAACTCTTTGATGCATTTGTTTCCTCAACATTAAATTATTCTTGTGCAATATGGGGTTTTACAAAATCTAAGGATATAGAAAGGATTCACTTGAAATTCTGCAAATCATTGTTAGGCGTAAAACACAGTACATGTACTGCAGCAGTTTATTCGGAGTTAGGCCGATATCCTCTTTATGTTCAAAGATATGTTCAAATAATAAGATTCTGGTTACATATTCTTCATTCAAATAATAATATCTTAAAGTCTGCTTTTTATTCATCAATAAGTCTTCATGATAATGGTTATAACTCCTGGGCAGCTAAGGTTCATTCTATTTTAAATGAATATGGATTCACAGATGTATGGCTCAACCCATTGCAATACAGCCCAAAAGAGTTTGTTGAAATATTCAAACGTAGATTAGTTGATTGTTTTATACAAAAGGTAAATGCAGACATTCAGTCTAGTCCACTTTTGTCTAATCTGTATGTACATTTGATTGACAAATTTGAACCTGCATTTTATCTAGATAATTTATTCATTAAATCCTACAGACAAAATTTATCTCGTATCAGATTATCTTCTCATAAATTAAAGATAGAGGTAGAGAGGTATGGTCCTAATAGAAATCCACGTTCTGAAAGAAAATGTGAATTATGTAATCTTCAAGAAATTGAGGATGAATTTCATTTTATTATCATTTGCAATTGTTATACTACATTACGTAGGGAGTTTATTAAGCCATATTTTTACAGAAGACCGAGTATGTTTAAATTTTTGCAGCTTTTGAAGTCAAAAAATAAATCCGAATTAATTGGACTTGCTAAATACATCATCTTTGCTACTAAGCGTCGATATGACCTTATTAATATTACCATTTAAAAACTATTTTTACCAGTATGCGCATGATAATTTTGCTCATTAAAAAGCGTCAGTATGGTATTTATTATGTATTTTTAATCGTTGAGTAACTACATATTAAATATATGAAAGTCATTTTTGCAACTTTTTAATAAGAGTAATGCCAACTTTTTATTGTTTAAATATGGATTTAAGAACATTCTCCATATATACTTTTGTTTAACAATGTTTGT